TCACAAACTACTACTGTTTGACGATGGCAAAATCGTATGCAATGGTGTGCATTTTGATGGTTGCAATCATATCGTTGTACCAAATCGAGGTTGAAGTAGCATCTGGCCGTCTACCGTTGCTAGTCAATGCTCGAGATCTCAACTCAAACCCAAATGTCATTAGTCACATATTTGGACATTTTTGCATATGTTTTTCTTAGACACATGAGACATGATTTTTGCACTTGAAATTTCACATCAAAATACTGTAAAAATAACTTTCACAATGTTTTTGCTTTGAAGATTCAGCATTTTTTTAGTTTCACAACATTTTGTTATGAAATTTCAAGTGTAAAAATTATGTCTCACGAAAACAACCCTATCTCACTCGAACCCAACCCTATAGACTTGGGATCATGTGAGATAAAACTGTTTTCATGAGACACGATTTTTACGTATGAAATTTTACAGCAAAGATTGATCTTTTGATACTAAATGCTAGATCTAAGAATACAAAGGGAATAAAGATGGACCAAGCTACTTATGGATGTAACCACAATTAACATCACTACGGTCGGGCTATYGAACACGGGGTCAGAAGTGAATTATACGAGTCGCATTGTAGTTTCCAGAAGTGCACTAGAGTTTGATCTTTCAGTTGTTCATTTTTCAAGAAAAGGTGTACTATGAGCCCTCTGCCCCATGCATCTAACCAGTTCGTGTGGTTCACCGGCTGTGAAGCTTCAGCTCTTTTTTACCTTCACAAAATTTTATTGTGAAGTTTCAAGTATAAAAATCGTGTCTCACATGTCTCACGAAAACAGTTTCGTTTCACGTGAACCTAACCTTATATATATACGGGGCGGGGCGGGGCGATACTCGTCAACTTAACCCTTCGACGTGTGCAACCTCCATGATCTATGGTAATTGTGGTGCGTTGAAAACTGTATAATGAAGATAATCAGTAACGAAAACCGATAAAACTCAATATTTATGTGTGTCCCTCAAAGACTTATACATTAACCATTTTTCGTAGTAAAATGTAAAATTACCAAAATACCCCTCAACTTAATTGAAGGGGGGCCATCCATGCAAGTTAATTTAATCTTATCCATAATCCATTTAATTAATTGGTAATTTTATGTTACATGTTAAAGAAATGATGGTTACACACGTCGATAACAAACTTTTGAAAAATCAAGACGACAAGATGATGTTTGATTCATATAAATTGCATTTCCAAATCAATTCGAACAATTTAGGGTTGGGTTTTCCTTCCCTCCTCGATCTCCATCTCAATCTCCATCTCCATTGCAGTTATAATCATTATCTTGTTCTCAATCTCGATCGCAATTAATCATCATCTTGTACCAAATCTCGATCTCCAATTAGAAATCAAACATGAAAGTCTTGATTTGATTTGAAAATCATGACGAAATTCCTGGATTTTTGGATGAGGAGAGGAGATTTTTTCTGGGTTGGTTTGAGATCCAAATGGTGACAGAACGAGAAAGGGAGGTTTACAGATGGAAGAAGAAAAGGTTTTATCGAAATGTAACGATCGCAGAGTTGTTAGGGATTTGGTTGAAGAGTTAATTGCGATCATCGAAGATGCTAAATCCATGGGAGAGTTTCGAGGAACACAGAGAAAAGAGAGCCAAACCCTCCTTCGGTTATTGAAGCATTGTTTGCCATTGTTGGAAGAGCTTCGAGATCTTGATGCTCATATCTCAGAGTATGGTATCTCATGTTTGTATAAATTGAGAAAAGCGTTTATTCTGGCGAAGAAATTGTTGAAGACTTGTCAAGCTGGAAGCAAAATTTATCTGGTTCGATTCTGTTCCCTTTTTGTGTCATTTAATTTAGGGTTTCAAAAGGGGGAAATGCAAATTCAACAGCGATTGAATGTAATTAGGTTTCTTTGATCTGTTCTTCTTTGTGATTTAGGTATTGGAAACCGATGCAATGGTGACCAGATTCATTAGTGTTTATGATAAATTGAATCAAGCTGTGGAAGGAATTCCATACAAAGAAATTGGGATTTCGGAAGAAGTTACAGAACAGGTAATTCATTTCTTCTGTTAAAATTTTGGGAAATTGCACCAAAATAAAACCAACTTTCATTTCAAAATTGTCGTTTTGGGGATCCAACTTGCATCTGATTCCTATTTTAGGGCACCAACTTGCAAAATAATTATAGAAAAATAACTAAAATTCTTTTTTTTTAAATTAATGCAATAAAATCTATTTTTCATTTCAAATATCGTTTTTTTTAATTCAGGTATTAATCGAAAGATTTTTTTTTAAATCCAAATTACCACGATAAAAATTGTTTTTACTAATGCAATAACAAAATCAATTTAATAGAAGAAAATTAATTGATGCAATAAAAAATAAATATTAAATATCACATTCAAGATTTTATATCTAATCGATCCTTATCAATATTAAAGTTTATATCAAATTTGGCAAATCAAACCAAAAGTTTGATAGAGACCCTTAAATTACATGTTACATGTTCAACAGATCAACCAGACCCTTAAATAAACAAAAAATTTGATAGAGACCCCTAAATGACGATTTTGAAAGTTGGTTTCATTTTGGTGCAATTTTCCCTTAATCTAACAAAGTTCTTAAGTTTCCAAATTTTACCAAATTTTTGACTCGCAACCTGCTGATATTGTAACATGAAGTAGATATTAAGTTTATCGTCTACTTCACTGTAAACATGTCATAAACAGGTATTCACATCATCAAATATTACAATATCAGAAAGTTACCGGTCATAATGGTATAATAGGAAATTTTAAAACTTATTACATCAATTAAGTATAAAAAATCTCACTTACACTAAATAATAAATAGGAACAACAACAAAGTTGGTTCCATTTTGATGCAATTTACCTTTCCTTTGTTCTAAAAAGCAAAAGAAAACGGTATGAATGAATAGAACTTTGTATTATTATAGGTCCAGTTGATGTGTATGCAACTTAAAAGAGCCAAGCAGCGAACCGATAGTCAAGATATGGAGCTTATTATGGATATGATGGCGGTATTGTCTTTCGATAGCGACCGAATTGCTGAATGTGACGGTATCAAACGGTTAGCGAGCAAGCTATCGTTGAATACTCTCGAGGATTTGAAGATCGAAACCGTGGCTATAAGGAAACTTGTGAAAGAAAGAAGAGGACAAAATGCAGAAGGAACTCAAAAGATCATGAATCTTTTGGACAAATTTAAAAGATTGGCAGGAATTGAACAGGCCAATGTTCTTGACGATCCTGTTCCGTGTAATCGATCGTTACAAAAATGCACTTCTTTAACGATCCCGTATGAATTCTTGTGTCCGATCACGCTAGAAATAATGAGGGATCCTGTTATTATCGCGACGGGTCAGGTGAGTTTATATGATTCGTCTATTATGCTATGCTATGTTCTTTTTATAGTAACCATCGGTGTTTGGCCAGCTTACGTGCTTCTTGACTAATCCCATGTCCTGAAGTTAGGGGTAAATTGGTTATTTTACCAGTCCTGTTATGTCAGTCCTGTCTTACAAACGTTGAACAGATGTCCTGTCCTGGTCATGTTTTGTCATGGGTATCAAATGCCCCCCTTAACGATTCGTTTGATGCACGAGACATGACGGAACAGGACAGAACAAAATCTTGTTGTCGTGCATTTGACGCGATGATTAGAAGGACAAGAATGAGAGAGAAATAGGTGGAACAAAAGACTGGAGATGAGACAAGGTAGGTGAATTACCAAACTACCCTTGCCAAATTAAAACCTTAAAACCTTCTCCGATTCTTTCACATTCCTAACTCACTCTCGTTAATACAGTTTCGTTCAGTCTTATCCACGTACCAAATGCACCCTCGGGCTTCTGTTATGCTATGTTCTTACGTAGCTTTTGCGTTTTGAGTACCAAACCTATATGAATTTTATATTTTGAGGATCAAAGGGTTACAAATTTTCCCGATAGAGTTTTGTGACGAATTCTGGATTTGAATCTTCGTCTTTCATTGCAGACATACGAGAGAGCAAGCATACAGCAGTGGTTGGATTCGGACCACGGAACATGCCCAAAAACCGGACTATCGTTAACACACACCACGTTAGCACCAAATGTCGCGCTACGCAACTTAATTTTGCAGTGGTGCGAGAGCAACAATTACCAGCTTCCCAAAAAAGAACCGACGCCGCCGCCCAAAAACGACCGCGGTGACAAAATTTTAACCTTGATTCAGGAATTATCCTCGAGCCAATTACTAGTACAGCGAAAAGCAGTCACCAAGATCCGCATGCTTTCACGCGAATGCCCAGAAAACCGAGTTTTGATCGCGGAAAAAGGCGGCATTCCGCCTCTTGTCCAACTCCTTACGTACCCAGATTCCAAAATTCAAGAACATGCCGTCACGGCTCTTTTGAATTTGTCGATTGACGACAAAATCAAGAAACAAGTCTCTAAAGAAGGCCCAATTCCAGCTATAATCGAAATTCTACGTAACGGAACAGATGGAGCTAAAGAAAACTCGGCAGCAGCATTGTTCAGTTTATCGATGCTCGATGAAAACAAAGCATTAATCGGATCATCAAACGGGATCCCACCGTTGCTTATTTTGTTAAAAGAAGGAACAATTAGAGGCAAAAAAGACGCAGCTTCGGCTTTGTTCAACTTAACGCTTTCCCAGTCGAACAAAAGCAGGGCTATCGAAGCTGGCGCCATTAAGCCGTTATTAAACATTCTTCAAAACGAGCGACTAGATATGGTTGATGAGGCTCTTTCGGTACTTTTACTTCTTGCAGCGCATCCCGATGGACGGAAAGAACTCGGGCAACTTTCTTTTATCGAGACTCTTGTGAGATTTATCAGAGAAGGAACTCCGAAGAATAAAGAATGTGCAGCCGCGGTTCTTCTTAAGCTTTGTACGAATAATTCGAATCTTTTGTTGGCCGCGCTTCAGTTCGGCGTTTACGAACACGTAAAGGAGGTTTCTCAGAACGGAACGAAAAGAGGACAAAAGAAAGCAGCAGCAATTTTGCAGCTTATGAGCAAAAGTGAACAGATCTAGCTACGAGGTCGTTTGGTTAAATGACCTTTTAACAGGTGTTTTTTAAATCCATGATCTTTTGATACGTTTGAGAATGACACTGTTTAACAGAAAAACGTCACAAGAATGTCTAAAATTGGTTGAAGGTTATAGATTTAAAAAGCATTTGTCATAAGGTCAGCTAAATTCCTTCTTTGTGGGCAGTTATGTTAGAAGTATATATCAATGTATCAAAGTTCATCTTCATCCTTAGCTTAGCTCTTTTCATCTTTTGGATAGAGGTCAAGTCTGCATACATCTATCTCCTGGCCTTAAATTTGAGTTGGATGTACTGGGTTCATCTACTTTTTGGTATTTAGTATGCAAAACAACTGTTTTTTTATTCTTTTTAGATATTCAACCCGTTATGTGAGCCGACTAATCCCAGACCGACCATCTGTTTTATGGGTATCCCGTTTTATGGGTAGCCCGGAGTCACTGAATATGAACATTTGTGGTCACAAGGGGATTTTTATTCCTCCTTGGATTTAAACCTGAGACCTCGAGGCACTTTTGACCTTTGGAGCTGAAGCTCAAACCAATCACACAAGTCTCAAATAGAATTGACACCTAGCCACGAAATGCAAAATATATAGATCAACAAATGATATACAGTGCGTCGTAATAATAATTTATCCTACCTGAGGTTTCCCGGTTTCATTGTGGGCAAGATCGTCTCGCCCCTTTTTTAAACAAGTTTTGGTCAGAGTAACATGGTCCAATGCGCGATCTTTGTCATGTGATATTTGATGTTTTTTTCCCTTTTTATGTCTTACTTTTTAGTTTCAAGTATATAACCTAACTTAAATTGTTTATCATCACTGACTCATTGAATAATAGTAGAAACTATATATGTATCTATATAATTATATATATGATACACGTATTTGTCGCCATAAGTCATGTCTTGGAAAACACAAGGCTCGTAAGGCTTAAGGTTTGGCCTCACCACCACACCACGCCTCATGCCATTTAAAACCTTGCCCACCAATAGCAAGTTACTGGTAGAGCCTAGTCTTTCAAAGAGGTCAGGGGTTCAAAACTCACAAAAGCCAAGAAGCGTATGTGCGAATATTTGCCGAACATAATCATTATATACTTCAAAAAGAACATAGATTAAAAACACACAGATTAAGGAGAAATGTTCAACGTTTAGCCGATATATGACTCGAATAGTTCAGAAAACACTATATTAGAATGCCGACTATATTAGGTAGCTCTTTCCAAATACGTCGGAGTAGGGGCCCTTTATAGTGTAGAAATCGAATTGAAAGGCTCGTAAAATACCGACATTTCCAAAAAAACCAAAGGTCACGATGGAAGGTATCATGAATCAAACGGAAGTCATAGCTTATGCTCTTTGATAACATTTTTTCAAGAATTATTTACGTTTTACGAATCATAAAATGGCCTAAGCAATCATGAGCGCGTTCAAGAACGCTATTGGCTCTTAACGTTTTTATTCCGATGAACTTGTGAGAATCGTCTCATAAAGATAGCTACCAAGGAGTCATTGACCCAATAGTACTCTGGTATTGGTAAAGTCAGCCAGTAAGTCAAAGGTTCAAACCTCACCAAAGGTCGAGTATGTGCCAGTATTTTCCGTATATAAATATTATATACTTCAAAACTTTATGAGTATCGCCATACCATAATAAGGTTTAAACATGCGAAGAGCATTGCAAGAACATGTAGATTACCAGTAATATACAACTAAAAACCTCACTGCAAAAGATTTATTGACATGTAATCCGTCGGTCGGTTGGAGCAAAAGAACTCCCCCAAAAGCCGCAACGAGCCTCTCACTCGACCTGCGAACAGAAATATATAAACAAACTGTGAACTTTCATAACATTGTGAGAAGAATCATAACTTCTTTTTCTTTCTAAAAGACCCAAGAAACCACAACCGATGAGCGTTTGACACACCCTGATAGAGTAATATGTGAGCGCTCGAATTCAATTCAAACTTGACACTAGGGGTGCTCAAAAAACGGACCAACCAGGGCAACCCAACCCGAAAAAAAAGAAAAAAACTCAATCTGATGTAACCCAACACAGTTGATACAAAATTAGGTCAAACCGCATCTGTTAGGTCTATATTATAGATTTAATATGACTATTAAGTCCTTGATTAAGACCAATCCGTAATTAGCGATATTCAAAATTATATTGCCATTTCAACCGTAATTTACTTTCTTATTTGCATGAACTTTCAACTATTTTTTGAGTTTGTTAGCCTTTTTTGTATGTTCTCATTTTGATTTTACTTCGTTTAAAAGGCATAGCTACATTGTGAAATGATGCATCAAAATTTCAACCCAACCCGCACGGTTTGGGTTGGGTTAGGTTAGAACTATTGGAAGCAAATGGAAAAAGGAACGCCGAGTGGGATCAAAGAAACTAGCGCCTTCACTTGACTTCCTCCTGTAGTAACTTTCACTTGCTTCCTCTCACGGTCCATCGCTCTAGTGTCTAAAGTTTCATTCAAGTCGTCACCTTAGTGAAAGCACTAAGGTCACCCATAACAAGGCTCTCCCATTTGAATTATCTTAGCCCCCAGCCATGCTATTCAATAATATCATACGATTCATGTTTTCCCCCCGAAGCCCTATCGCCTGCCTGGAACTCCAGAGACCGTCCTCCCTATCGCCCGCCCAATGCTTACTATCGAGATTGGTTGGGACGGAAATGATTATCCCTGCCCAATGGGTCTACATCAAGATTTTTCAAACCGCAAACATTGGGTTGGGTTGTCCAAATACCTTCAACCCAGTCAACGCAACCCATGTGCAGCCTTACTTGAGACCATCCTAAGGAAGTATGAATTACTGAGCAAGCAAACCAAACGAACCCAATATATCTCATCTGGAAGTAGGGTCCATTGGGGGTAAGATGTATCAGACCTTTGCTCTGCCTCTTAAGAGACAAAGAGGTTGTTTCCAAGAAGACCCCGGCTTTCAAAACTATGGTTTATGAGGACGCTATTTGAGGTCCATTTCACCTTCTAATAATAGTAAATAGCTCCACTACTCTGTGGAACCACTATTTGACCACCGTTTTTTCTTCGACCACCACTAATCGCTATAACACCACAATATTGCACCACTATTTTAACTCCCCAGCCCGGAAGTAAGGTCCACGGAAATAAGATGTACACAGACCTTTCCTCTATCTCCACTCTAGACAAAGTGGTTATTTTCGAGAAGATGCAGCTTGTGAAGCTACAAAGCAAACACAAATTCTAAGAAAAGGGAAATGTGGCAATTTTTCATGTGACAGAGGGAATATAAGATATCATGTTAAATCCCTAACCCATGGCAACAATTGGAGATTTGGGGTCACAAAGAGAAATAATACCCACAACAAAATAATAAAGAATAACCACAAGGGTTGTGGCGTAATAGTTGAGGTCCCGGGGGATATGGGGAAATATCTCATCTATCCAGGGTTCGATTCCAAGTGTACACAACAAATGTGGCCACTGAGTTTATCAGGGATGATTTCTTGCAATCGCAATTTGCCAAGATTAATCTAGGCATAGCCTGGGACACCCTTCCAAAAAAAAATAACAAAGAATTCTTGATGTTAAAAATGGAAGCAAGAATTGGTACCTAAAAGATGTGCACTGCTGGGAGGCATCCAACTTGAGAGTGAAAAAAATGGCAAAGGATCGACGAGAAATTTAGTCCATCAGGTCCTCGTCACTCCCCGGAAAAATTAATTGAAGATCTTCATTGTCTCGGTAAACTTGAACCAAGGCAGCAGCTTTGTATGCAAACACCCCTACCATTGCTGGTGTAAGCTATAACGAAGATCCATAAAAAGTATATCAGGAAGAAAAACATCATAAAAAATAATCTTTTTAGCAAATGCCAACACATTATCACTTCATTTCTAATTTGGTCATTAGATTTTAAAAATCTGTCACTAAACCACTGAATTTTCCAAAATTTGGGTAACTTAAGGCTTGTTTGTTAACAGCTTAATGAGCTTAATGGGATGGACTAACGACTTATTCGGTCAGCTATATATGATAGTCTGGTAGTGGCATAATGATATAGAAAGTGGCTTACTCGATAAGCTTCTTGGGGTGGAGGGGGGGCTTTATGCAGAAAGCCAAGTTTTTCCAAAACCAGCCCTTCCAAATTAAAAAGCACGCTCCTTCCATCTTGAAAAACCCTCCCAAACAAGAACCCTATCAATCTATACATGAAACTGTCGGCTTTATCCATACAAGACTTAATGGAAAACCAGCCAAACAGCCCCTTAGACCAAAAAAACCTGTAACATGCTTACGAATTTGAATGGTTTTCACAACAGTTTTTTCATAAGTTGAATGATTATTATAATGTTTTTGATAGTTGAAAACTTTTTATAACTGTTTTTGAAGCTTGGATGGTTTTAGTAACGAATGATTAGTCCATCCGTGAAGAGGTAGGGTTTAGAGCAAAACCTGGAAGAAATCGTTTGCAAAATGTTGAGACAGGCCCCATAATCCATATATGGCAGCTGGGATTACAAGCCGTGGAGATGATAGAGCCATGCTACAACCTTTCACCACCCTCTCAAAAAAATCCTCCAAGTCATCGCTTCTTATTCCGATCCTAATTTCATATACAAGAAAGAAAAAAAATTAAGAGTGACAAACAGTAGCTATAAGGAGAACCAAAAAACCAAAGGGTCATTGGCCCAATGGTATCTTATCTAGGTTACCTGTAGATCCCAACCTCAGAAGAGTGTGTGTGAGTTTTGCCTTATATAAATAATTAAATATTATTCTTCAAAAAAAAAGAGAATTAGAAATGTTGAGTAGCATACCTTTTTATCTTTCTTTGCCTGAAAATTTGTGGAACTGTTTCCCTTGAAAGGTTGTCCGCATATCGATACAAAAGTTGAAGGTATAGGCAACTGCATGCAGTAATGGTCTAAATAAGCATTAGTTTTTCGGTATCATCTTCATTCTAGCTTGTTGATGAACATAACTGATGCATACTGCTATTAATGAGAGGAAGTGATCCATTAAAAACACCAAACCACAGGGACGAAAAATGTAATTCACTCTTTCTTTTATTTAGTTTTGAGTAAATTATAAATTTTATCCCTGAAAAATTATGGATCAGGTCCCTCAAGTGAAACAATTACAAAGGGAGTCATTGTGGTTTGAAATGTATTGTGGATGAGGTCCCTTCTGCTAACACCATTAAAGAAAATTTCGTTAAGTGAGGTATTTTGGTCTTTTATGGGGGGCAGGTGGCAGCATCTAATTGCTACTTCAAAATTGTTTATTAATCAATGGGTAAAAAGACCAAAATACCCCTTATTTTAATGGAATATTTTAACTGAGTTAGCAGGAGGGACCTGATCTGATCCGTAATAAGTTGAAACTCTAATGACTACCTTTGTAATCATTTCACTCGAGGGGTCCTATTCATAATTTTTATAAAACCAGAGGGGAGAAATTTGAAATTCACTCTTTAGGTTTTTAATGTAAATGCACGAAATCAAGGATTTCTGTCAGCAGGGCCCAACCAAATAAGATACAATAAGTAATTAGATTGTTCTAAACTAACCTGAAAAGAACTCCAGTTGCATAGCTCACAGCAGCCTATGAAAATAGGAAGAAGATACAAGAGTTCATCCATAAGCTATCACATGTGTTTTAAATGAACTAATGAAACAGGTATTAAAATTAGAACAAAGGAAAGTGAAATGAAAATTGCATTTTTATATTTAAGAGCAGATGTCTAGAGAACGTACATACAGATTAGAACTTGTGGCATTTAGAAATTTGAAGATATTTAAGTGTCCTATCAAACATTTATATTCCAACACAACAATATTAAGTTAATTTAATTAGTCTTTGGTGCTATGTCAACTTGTGTGTGACTATAGTAAGCCTATCCTTTTAGACTTCTATTTTTCTGATTTCTAGCAAATCTATTCTGTATATTCTGCCCTTTCCCACATCCCTCCAAAAGTGTCTTACCTTAAAATGCAAAAATCGTACATCTCTTTTAAATCACAAATGCTATATGTATACATATGTATATGTATATGTAGGGGTGGGTTCGGTTGCAAACCGATTTTAGGTTGTAAACCGGGGGACAAAGGAGAGTGTACCATGTGTCCCACACCTTCACGGGTTATTATCATGAATAATGTATCATTCATGATGAAAGTGTATTATTCATCATGAATAGTTCATGAATTCAAGAGAATGTGGACACCCGGAGACACATGTCATGCTCTCCTTTGCCCCCCGGTTCATAACCTAAAAACGGTTTGCAACCAAACTTTCCTGCAATGCAATGGTGTCTTGAAGTGGGTGTTTTGGCAGTAATTGGAGCTTAGGAGAGATTATTTTATTTATAATTCAGAAAACACATAATTGCAAATGAAGGATCTTTCTGTTGGTAGAAGGATCTAGGTAGGATTAAACAGAAAGGGGCACACTTAGGACTAATAATTGTTTCTCTATTTCCTCATAAAAGCAAGCATCGTAAGATAAAACCAGTCCATAACTTCAGTTAACTTGGTTATGATTGTTTTACAGTTATTTTGCCTTATCCTCTTTTTTTTTTTTTTCTTTAAAGATGCAGATTTTTCTTAATGCACCATATTTCGAGAAAAATTGAAGAATGAAACAAATACTAGAAACACCAATTGATGTAGCAAGTTGTTAAAACCACATAAAGATTGTGCTCTATTCTTCAATTTCCTATAACTATGATTGTAAATTTGAGTGTGATTATTGGTCCTAAAAGGCATTCATATGAAGAACAGAAATGTCTGAAATTATACCTCTACGTGAATACCTGGATCGAAAAAGTTGCCAAACAATATCCACTACACGCACTTCCAATAGCTACAGTTAGCATGAACAATTCCCTCTTCACCTGCAAGATAAGAACACATGATCAGTTACATCTTCCACATTTGGCAACCTAACAGTCTTGAATGATTTAGAAAATTGCACAATGCACAATATTCAATAAAAAGGTTCCCAAATCTTGTAATAGAATATGAATTAAATAAATAAACTATCTAAGGAGCATATTCTGACGAAGGTAATTTATACCGCTTCATATTGAAGTAGGTTTAGTCTGGTTCTTCTTTTGCTGTCATCACGCAGTTCCTGTTATCACAATGCCCATGTTAGAACTTAGAAGAATATTTATGCATCATTTTCTTAAGGACAAAATGCAACAAAGTTTGATTTAGTTCCTATTTAGTGTAATGAAGAACATTTTTCCTCGATCGATGTAATAGAGTATCAAAAGTTCCTATTCAACAAGTTACCAGTAAAAACGGATGCAAAATAGAAACTTTTGAAACTTTGTTACATTAAATAGAAAATATTGAAGCTATGTTACATTGATTGAGAAAAAAGTTCTTTATCTATACCATCTTATTAAGCAAATTTAGCAAAAGTCTTAAAGTCTTAAAATACTAAATGACCAAGATACCCTTTATACTACCCTTAGGTCACTTTTTCACTTTTTCACTCCCTCCTCTCTCACATACACTCACCCCCTCAAATACACTCACCCTCTCACAACCGATTTTTTTTAATTATAATTTTAAATTTACAGTTTATACCCCTATAATTAGTTAATTAATTTACTTTATGTCCTTTACTTTTAAATGTTTCATTTTAAACCTTTATCAAATTAAYATACATAATCATATATCAATTAAAACATGTTTAAAAAATACATTTTTATTTTAACAAGTTACACCATAAATGAGTCCAATATTGAATAGTTTTTGACTTAATTATATTATTATATATTATATATACTGTAAAAAAATATTTTTAATATTTATGATTTATACTTTTATAGTTATTTATTTATATATATACTATATATTTTGGGGTTAGGCTGTCCAAATTGCATTGTATAATATGTTCTGAATTAATATGTTATTGGGTTTTTTTGAAATATATATATATACATGTATTAATTCAACCTTAATCTGAGTTTCTGGACAAGAAAGAGGGTAAGCAATTGAAATTTCATTCTAAAACCCATCTTTTTTGGTCTTTTCATGGCTTATAATCTGTCAAATTTGTAGTTTTCTTTATTGGTTTTGAGTGTTTATCTTAAAACTCAAGTTTCTTGGTTCTTTGCTCTTGGTGTAAATCTAACACATTTGTGGAGTCGTTTAAATATGTTGGATTTTAAATATATTGGATTTTAAACTGTCATACAATTTTTTTCATCGATAGTCTGTAATTGGAACCATAACTCTTGTTTATTCAAATTGTATTAATATGTAAAGACCAAGTGTAACCTATATCATCGTTAAATCTTATCTTGTAAAACCAGTGGAACTTCAAAATCGTTAAAATTCATGGCTCCCGCCGCATTGCTAGGGTACACAACTAGTTTCACTAAATAGGAACTAAGGCAAATTCAACGCATTTTGATGCATTTTGACACTTTCTTAACAGCTCCAGAAAGACGATAGCATATGAGGTGGAATCAGGACAGAAATCAAATATAAGTTAAGCAAAGATGACGTAAAATCAAATATACCTTAGCTTGCATCTTTTTGTTTATCGGTGCAGCAGATTCCCCCAAAAGCCACTCATTTGTTCTTGTCAATTTCAGGAAGCCACCCGTATTTTCGTCAACCAATGGCTACATTAATCAAGTGTGTTACACTACAAGATTGGAGATCAATGCTTCACTTTAACTAAACATGTAAAAAAACATGATTCTAAGAATTTATCAGGTTTACTTTTGACGATGACCAAACCATCTCGAGTGTTATTCCATTATCATCTTCAATTGGTCATGCCAATAACCTTTTTACATTTATTTGTCATTTTTAACCTCATTTACCTCTCTCATGAGGCATAGATTGGTAGAAAGATAGGCAATAGTTGTGCACAAAATACTTGCGCTGGTCTGGTCATTGGTCGTAGATTATGCATCAATGAAACACGGTGAATTGTACCATGAAGGCATCAAGAGACGTGGCGGTAGCCCACAACTGACTTACCAGTTACTCCCTCCGTCCCAAAATAAATGTCCAAAATGAAAAAGGCACAGTTTCATTATACTTTATAATTAACTAAATGACAATTTTACCCTTAATGATAAACGAGTACAAGATATATCATCTCATAATCAAGGATAGAACTGGAAACTAGTCACTTAGTTCTTAAAGGGTGCGTTTGGTATCCAGACATGACAAAACAATTGTTCAGCATTTGGTAAGACCGAACATAACAACTATTCAGCGTTTGGTAAGGCAAAATTGGACAGAACGGAACAGATAAAAATGACCAACTTACCCCTCATGAGTTGATTATATGTTTTGACTAATTATGTAATTTATTAAAGTATAATAAAATAAATATTTTATATAACAAAATATATCATTACAAAGTTCTCATCAAGACGATTAAAAATGACAACAAAATAAAAAGTTTTTTTTGTAGATTATGCATAGATGAAACACGATGAATTGTACCATGAAGGCATCAAGAGAGGTGGCCGTAGCCCACAACTGACTTACCAATTACTCCCTTTGTCCCAAAATAAATGTCCACAATGAAAAAGGCACATAGTTTCATTATACTTACTAATTAACTAAATGACAATTTTACCCTTAATGATAAAGAAGTACAGAATATATCATCTCATAATTAAGGATATAATTGGAAGCTAGACACTTAGATCTTAAAGGGTGCGTTTGGTATCCAGACATGACAGAACAATTGTTCAGCATTTGGTAAGACAGAACTGGACAGGACAGAACAACTGTTTAGCGTTTGGTAAGACAAAATTGGACAGGACAGAATAGATAAAATGATCAATTTACCCCTGTGAGTTGTTCATATATTTTATATATTTTTATTAATTATGTAATTTATTAAAGTATGGTAAAATATATATTTTATATAACAAATATATCATTACAAAGTTTTCATCAAGACGATTAAATTGACACCAAAATAAAAAGTTTTTGCAGATTGTGCATCAATGAAACACGGTGAACTGTACCATGAAGGCATCAAGAGAGGTGGCAGTAGCTCACAACTGACTTACCAATTACTCCCTTCGTCCCATAATAAATGTCCACAATGAAAAAGGCACATAATTTCATTATACATTTAGATCAACAAAATGTCAATTTTACCCTTAATGATAAACGGGTACAGAATATGTCATGATTTAACGTCCTTAATCCCTTGTAGTTGAGATGACCGAACCGACAGTCTTTCAGCTTAGCATCATAATGGCTTTCTTCTGATACCAAATATTGAGCATCTCTCTGATACGAAAGCAATTGATGCCAAACTCCAAAAGATAATTTATTAAGAACAGCCAAATGGCCTTTAAATAGAAGATACATGACAGATAGAAAAATAACTATTGCTCCTAAGAGAGCGGGATAAAAACGAGACTGAATCAAAAACAACTAATATCCCTAAACAAATGGGATTTTATTCCAAATCCTAGCTGACCAAGTCCAACAATGTGGACACTTATTTTGGGATGGATAGTAGAATATAGGTAAAGACTTAATCTTAGGTAGATTATTGAGTGAAAGGATGAAAAGGAAGCTACTATACGACTCACAAAGGTTGGTTATTCTTCATTTCTTCTCATTTTCTACAATTTTCTATGGCAATGTGTATACATCTATTTAAACAAGTGAGCTTTTAAAGACTGCTGACCAAAACAAAAAACTGAAGCAGCAAGCAAAATTGCATTTGAAATCATAGATAAATATGTTCATGTTACAATACGGAAAACCTTATACACAGAACATAAACTAGTGATGAAGAAGCACCAAATATAATTTTTTTGAAAGAGCATCACCTGATCGAGTTGAGTAGCATCATTCGTTAAGTCAGCTTTAATGTCCTCAATCTTTATAGTCTTCCTCATCCAAAGTTTATCAGACACTTTTGCTATAAAATCTCCGTTCAACTCTCTGTCCTTCAAAAACATAAGCAGAACATCATCTTCTTCAATCATGAAAGCTGCAAATGAAGATGAGGAAAAACCTATGGTTAAGATCTTCCATGATAAACCTTGAAGAACTTAGAAGGTGCCAGACTGCCAAAGTTTGAGAAGATAGCAATGTTGAGGCAGTGTTTGGATTATTGGGCCTTGACATTGTAATCAGTTCAGCATTTGGATAAAAGTGATTATGATTCTCATTTTCTGATCATTTAGGGTCGAAATAATCAAATTTGGAGAAGCAGTAAAGAAATTGCTACAAGAAAACGATAATTGAAATAAATATAACATTACCTACCTATATGTGGCTTCAATCAACAAATTATCTGATTTTGAGTATTCAAGGAGAAGAGGGATTCATTCCATCTATTCAATTGTGCAAAGCTCAATCCCTACTTACTGAAGACTTCCCGATTCACAATAATCAGTTTCAAAACGCACATCCAAACATCCCCCGAGAAGTGAACCATCGATTATGATATAGTACAACAGCATGCATTGCATGATTTTGCCTTCTTAAACTCTAAGCTTGCAGAAATAGTTATAAATCTGAGATAGGTAGTGGAGTTGTTCATTGGTGGGACGGTCCATCAAGCCCGACCGTCCGGTCCACTTGAAAAACGGTCTTGGACAATAACTCTTGAAGAAATGGGTGGGATCACACTAACTTGTTAAAATTAACAGGCGGACATGGACAATGCAAAAATAAATTTGGGCAGGGCTGTTAATATTTTAAAATTAAATAAGTATTATAATTAAACTTTACAAATAAAATTGAAAATTCTTGAATCTGGATGCTTCAACCTTAATTGTCTCATAATACACATATAGCAAAGTAGAAAGCATTAAATAAGCTCTTGGAGCCGAGACACCACCATATTTCTAATTCCTAATTCCCCCTTTATCATCTCATTATATACCGACTCTTGGGAACCTAAAAACCTTAATCGATCAATTTCTTATTATTCCATTTGGCCACTTCCTTCCTAATTCCCCTCATAATCTACGTCTTAGTTTAGATGGAAAGAGTATTATATAGTTATTTCACATAAACTGTGATTCACATAAGTATTATTTTCTTAAAATGCTAAATCTTTTTAAGGCCCATTAGCCCGTGGCCAAGCCTGTCTCATTTTTAGGGCAGGTTAGGGCAAGTTATCAGTCCCGTAAAAAGGGCTTGGGTTTGCTATATTAGGTTACTTGGACAAAAAATTAAATTAGGCTCGGCCGGGCCCTGCCAAAGCCCACACATGATCAGCTCTAATAGGTAGACACATGAACAAGCTTCAGTTCCAACTTCCAAGCATCATCTTATAATCCTAAAGATCATATAATAGCAAACCCGATACAGAATCATGTAATCTACATAAGGTTTGGTAGGTTTTCTTTTATTGTATGCAAGCCCATTGACAGAATTATGTCAGGCCTGCAATAATCCAAACTTTAAACTTAAATAAGCTTCAGCTCTGATTACAAATCTAAATTTCACAGTCCCAAACACTACTTTGTCGTCATCCTCCTTCAAAAAGATGATGGTTTGTACTACTGAACCCAGATACTTGAGCTTCTTTGAGTTACGGTCAACCGATGCAGAACAAATGGATGAGTTAGCTAAGACATTCATGGAACAACAACACGACAACAAACAAGTTGAAGAACTTTTGAACCAGGATAAGTTATGAAGCCCAGGACTAGTCCAAGGAAGAGTCTGGACCGGAAATTGCATAGTTTGGGGCTATGATTTCGACTTCCCCCAAATTTTCAAGATTTTTACATTTTTATTTTATTTCTTTTTTCATGAGTAACTCGGGTGATATTGAGGAATTTCATCAACTATTGGCTGGAGTTTCACTATTTTACACGGCACTTTAAAGTTTGATTTTTGGCCAAACCTGCTCCATCCTATGCCTAGAAAATTCATCATAACACATATCATTTTTCATCTCAAAATGTAAGTTTCTTTCTTGTTTGTTAAATCATATCCACGATACTCCTGTTCGGCATCACAGCAACAAGCAAAATGCATCTGCTATTTTCTTCACTTAATACAAACACATGGCGTGCTTATCACATTGCAACTAAAATCCCCATCAAACATAAACATGCTTAAAGATCCAGACATTATTTAAAAAAGATAAACAAAACCACTAAAAAGTAAGAATTATGCTAAAAAATGGAGGATTCTTTCGTCTATTACCTCTAGCAGAAACCCTTAATCCCGTACGAATGCTGACACCAGACCTCGATTTATGACCCCTCAAACCAAACCCACAAGTACCCTGGTCGTAAATGAAAAGTCAGAATCAGATAGATGTTTCTTGAATATCATATTCTCTTTTATTACAGTACCATAATATACGAAGGGCAACAGATTGTATACAATTTTGGTACTTTACTACTATGTAAATATAGAATACGAGAGTTAGAGAGAAGGGAAAGGATGCATACCTTGAAATTAGGGGTCACAGAGGGAAGGTGAAGAGGAGAAGCCATTGAAGAAGATGTGATGGTAGCCAAGTGTTGTTCCAGCAGAGAGATTTTTATGCAGACGGATAGGATGACATCGCATCGTGACGACGGTGGAAATGGAAGTGTAGATATTTGGCCAATTACAATAAAAAAAAATATTTTTATTATATTTTTTAATTCAGTAAATTAACGATTTGGATCATGTCATACAAAGTAGTTGTCGTTTCACAACATTTTACATTTGAAATTTTATAGCAAAATATGGTGAAGACAATTTTTTTAGTGTTTTTGTTATGAAGATTCATATTTTTTTACCTTCACAACATTTTATTGTGAAATTTCAAGTATAAAAATGTGGTCTCACATGTCTCACGAAAAAAGACTGGACTCATGTGAACCTAACCCATAAATTAATAGCCATACTAAAGTATTTCTTAATACTAGTTGTCTACCCGCGCAATGCGGCAGGAGCCATGAATTTTAACGATTTTGAAGTTCCACTGATTTTATAAGATAAGATTTAACAATGATATATGTTACACTTGGTCTTTACATATTAATACAATTTGAATAAATAAGAGTTATGGTTCCAATCACAGACTATCGATGGAAAAAATTGTATGACAGTTTAAAATCCAACATATTTAAACAACTCCACAAATGTGTTCGATTTACACCAAGTGCAAAGAACCAAGAAACTTGAGTTTTAAGATAAACACTCAAAACCAATAAAGAAAACTACAAATTTGACAAATCATAAGCCATGAAAAGATCAAAAAAAATGGGTTTTATAATGAAATTTCAATTGCTTACCCTCTTTTTTGTCCAGAAACTCATATTAAGGTTGAATTAATACATGTATATATATATATATATATATATTTCAAAAAAAACCCAAGAACATATTAATTCAGAACATATTATACAGTGCAATTTGGACAGCCTAACCACAAAATATATAGTATATAWATATAAATAAATAACTATAAAAGTATAAATCGTAAATATTAAAAATATTTTTTCATAGTATTATATAATATATAATATCATAGTATTATATAATATATAATAATATAATTAAGTCAAAAACTATTCAATATTGGACTCATTTCGAAGGTATTAACGAGACGATTATAATGGTATAACTTGTTAAAATAAAAATGTATTTTTTAAACATGTTTTAATTGATATACGATTATGTATGTTAATTTGATAAAGATTTAAAATGAAACATTTAAAAGTAAATGACGTAAAGTAAATTAATTAATTAATTATAGGGGTATAAAGTATAAATTTTAAAATTATAATTTTAAAAAAATTGTTTTAATGTGAGAGGGTGAGTGTATGTGAGGAGGTGAATGTATGTGAGGAGAGAAGGGGGTGAAAAAGTGAGGTAGTATAGATAAGGGTATCTTGGTCATTTAGWATTTTAAGACTCTAAGACTTTTGCTAAATTTGCTTTATAAGATAGTATAGATTCGGGTTCAATCCAAAAGTTTCAATTATTTCAGGTTGATAAAAAAAACTGAATGATTTAACGTAGAATGAGTAAGTAATCAGAATAATTGATTTAATAAAAAATAAAAAATGATTGTTTAACAAATATTCTGAATAAACGGTCAAAATTACAGTACTTTTTGTTTTCGTTTTTGTTTTCATTTTTGTTTCTTGTATATATTTCAAATTTGTTTATGAATGATATATGTTGTTAAGGATTTGAACTTTGTCACGATATTGTATATCTTTTATTCGTTAAGTGTAATCATGTGTTCTTCATATGGTAGTATTTTGTAGTTTGATGTTTATCAAACGCTTACATGGGTAAGCGTTTACTAACTCACTTTACTTTACCGGGTACCGGATAAATATGACAAGGGTTAATAATCTTACCCGGTAAAAGTAAAGGCAAAAATTGAGAGTCTTACTCGATAAGTGAGGACGATAACTCTTACCATGGTTACCGCTTACTAGGATAAATTGTTGCATACGATGCGTTTTAGTGAATAAAATCTTACCCGATAAGTAAGTTATAGTGTTGAATTTTACCGGTAAGTACTTGCTGCGTAAGTGTTTAGATAAAGAGCCCCTTAGGCTGTATGTTAAAAAAATTGGTTTTCCTCTCTCGACTTTATATATATTACAAATTTGTCCCCAAATGATGCATTTTTGTTACAGGTTTGGTTTATGTCTCTAACATAGTCAATCTCTCTTCTTCTTTTTTGAAATATATAATATTTATTAGAAGGGTACTCGCAGAATGCAACGAGATAATCTTCGTTTTATTGTTTAGCTTTTAATTTTCTTTATCGATATAATACAATTTTATGTGGTTTTGAGAAAACGATAATGTTTTTACTTTTGAAAGAAATATATATTTAAAGATAGCATAAAATTTAAAAAAATCGATATTAATATCAAATTAACTATTTAATAATTCTCGTTTTTTGGTGTAATAGATTTAATAACAAAGTATTTTTTTTTTTGGTTTGATGATATAATTTTTATAAAGATAATAATTAATTATTCTGTTAGAACTCAATAATTATCTTAATTATAATTCAGATTTTCTATATTTAAAATGAATGTTTATCCTGTATTTAATTATGTTTATCTACAGTTAGTTACACGAATTTAAAAATAGAGCTTTAATAAGTTGCACTTATGCAAAATCACTTGTAATCTTGAATTTTAAGTAATATGCATCAATAAACAGTACTTCATGCATAAAAATTGGTTTTTAAGAGTTTTTGTCAAATATCTTATAATATAGTATAGATATATGACAAATAGAACAAATAAACTCACACATCTTCGTTACTTTTTTCATGTACATGATTTGATCATTAGACACAAAATACATGTTTTGTTCACCTTTTACCTACTTTTAGGGATTGTGTACAGTTCACATTTCCTCCCAATTACTTGTAAACGGTAACATTCATCTTCCAACCCATATGTAATACATATAATTAGGAGTGCTCAAAAACCCGATTAACCCAACAAAACGTGAAATAATTTAACCTGAAGTAATCCAATGTCTAATTGAGTTGTAAAATTTTTAAACCCTAAGTATTGGGTTGATATTGAGTTACTATTATTTGAATCCAACATAACCCGATGAACCAAATATCATTTTATTTATTGAATTTAATATGAGTGTTGAGTTTTTATTAATATATACATTAGACAATTACACTATCACGTACCCTTTTTCATATACACATATTTCCAATCTTTCTCTATCTCTATATAACTCATTCGTATATATGTATAGTAACTGTGAACGTATATATGTAAATTGAGAAAATTAATTGAATATGATATAAATAAGATTTAAAAAGTATGGATAAGTTGTGTCAAATGGTTGATGATGAAAAAGAAATTACGAGTAGAGAAATAACATATTCAAAGTTAGAAGAATATTTTAATGTACCAAAGTATCAACCCAACTAATCCAACCAACCCGTACGGTTTGGGTTGAGTTAAGTGGACGGGCCCAAGTTTGTTCGTTAAAATTAATGGACGAACATGAACAATGTAAATCAATAATATGTCACATACCTTAAAACAAATAAAAACAAATTAAAATTCGATCAAACATGAGTTTACATGCCAGTACAAAATAGCACATTTTATTCGATTACAATTAAATTATTTGTGCAGTCTTATCCAATGCGATAATAGGGTAAGGGGTCGTTTATCAAACACTTACTCGGTAAGTGTTTACTTGTAAAATTTAACACTATCATTTACTTAACGAGTAAAATTTTAGTACACCAAAACGGCATGTACGCAACAATTTACCGGCAAATGCGTACCGTCTCTCTTACCAGGTAAGACTCTTAGTCCTTGTCTCGCTCTTACAAGGTAAGATTCTTGATCATTACCATATTCATCCGGTAAGGTAATGTGACTTAATGCACTTACCCAGATAACGTTTTGGTAAACAGCCCATAAATTTTCGTTAGAATTGTTTGATCTAAATTTGAATAAATGTATAATTCTTAAATTATAAAATATTAACGAATAAACTCTAAAAATACAAGAAATATGACAAAAATCATAATATTTTTAATTAAAATAATAAATTATTTTGAATAATTTTTTTTTTTTTTTGTTGACCGTTTAAAAATGCATAAAATTAGAGTGAAGGACCCAAGTTTGTTGGCTGATAGAAGGGCCATTTATAAATGTTAATTTACTATTGGGTTAAAGTTGCAAAGATTATGAAACTTCAGGGTCCTTTATGAAACATAACCTACACAGATCAAGGCAAAGGAAAGATCCAACGGCTCTAATCGACTAGCCGTTATATTCAAAAGGTGATTATGGGAACAGAGCCGGACATAAATCCGCTCTTTACGATTCGATTTCGAACCCAAAAATTGAACTCGAAAACCCTTTTTCGTTTCATCCATCCACCGTTTAACGGATCAAAAATCATCAGATAAATCTCTAGGAAAAGATAGAGAGACTTCAAAGATTGTTTTATCGACTCAATCGATTGATCATCCATGGAGTTTTTCTGTTGATATCTCTCTCTTCTTTGTACTGCTGGACTGATTTTCGAAGAATTTCAAGTTTTTTTGTGGCAAAATAGGTGAGTTCTTAGGCTGGGTTTTTTATCTTGTTCTTGATCTTTGTATTAGGTTTTTTGTGATTAATTAGAATCAGTTTTCTGTGTTTATGATTTCATGAATTTTTGTGGATGCCAAGTAATTTAAAATCCCAATTTTTTTCCAGTAGATTAACTGAGTGGAGTTTTTATGATATCTTTCGATTGATATTGATTGATTTTTAACTTCTTGTTTATGTAGATTGATGGGCCTTTTTTCTTTTTTATTGGAAGTTTGTTAGTAGATTTTGAATTGGATTCTTTTGGCTTTTTGATTCTATGTAGATTGTAAAATGGCTGGATCAAACGAGAATTTTCCAGATGTAATCCGCCCTACCAAAGTACAAGGTAATCTTAGTGAAGATCTTCAAGTTATTTTTTCTAAAATGTTTTATGTAGATGACCTGTTTGATGATTTGTCTGAGTTAATAAAAATGGTTATAAACCCTAATTTAATCGAAAAAATTGATGTTATATAGGAGGAGGAGGGGGATTAAAAGCAGGAAGTGGGAAATTAGGAGTCCCAATTTGTCAAAACAGGAGGGCATTGAGTGATATCAACAAGAATATCATCAGAGCTCCACCAGCATACCCTTGTGCTGTTAATGGTTTACCAGGGTAAATAAGTCAATTCATTCCCTTTCTTATTTATCTGTGAGGTTTTTTCATCAATGATCTTTTGCTTTTTCAAGTATCCATGTTGATTATTTGTCATCTTCTTTTTCTAGAAAAAAACCAATCCCTAGTAAGAAACCACTTGTTCCAGTTCGTCGACCCATTACTAGGTCGGTAACCGGCCCTTTCTCTTGTTCTTGCCACAAGAAGTTTGCATTTGGATACATTGAATCAAACATCCCTTATAAGTTCCCAATTGTGTTGTTTCTATAGGACATTTGGAGCACAAATAAGCAGCAAACCATCGCTGCCTTTACCGGAGGTATAAGCTTTTATCTACTGTATTTCTGATCAAAGAAACTCATGCTTTTTGTCAAAAGTCTGTGAAAGATGCATGAAAAATTCTCTTGATAGGGAAAGAAGCCAAAAGTCCAAACAATCCCTGATGAAAATGACACTCAAGACTGCAGCATTATTGATGCTGAAGATGATTTTAATGCACCAATGTTCGTGCAACATACAGAAGCTATGCTGGAAGAAATAGATAAGATGGTAGTTTGATTTCCCCCTTCCATGGTGTTCTTGTTCTGTGCCTCTTTAAGACAATAAGCGTAAAGCATCGAATCGGTTTCTTTTAGGATGAAGATGTATACGAGGAACCGCTTTTGGACATTGACAATGCTGATAAGGGTAATCCTTTTGCCGTTGTTGAGTACATTGATGACATTTACGCGCACTACCGGAAACAAGAGGTAATATTTGTGTTGCCTTTTTTGTTAGGATTACATTGATGACATTTATGTTGTCTTTCTTGTTAGGATGATAACCACACACGGGGGTAATATTTACAGGGAAGGGAAAAAGGGAAATAGTATTTGTGTTTTGGTAGGATTCTTATCACTTATTTATGTGCATTCATTAATGAAGGTTGTCCATATGTGCAATTGTCACTGGGATTCTTATCACTTATTCATTGATGAAGATTGCCTCTACTAGAAGTAGAACACATGAAACTGTAACTGCTGTAACCATTTCACAGTCCAAATCAAGATTCATACCCGACACTTCCCTTTTCACCGAAACGACCTTAACTCGTGTTGAAAGCATATTTAACTGTGATCCGAGGTTACGAAGAATACCATGTTGGTTGTTCAGAAAGGAACTTGTTTAACTGCAAGAAATTTAGCTTCAATGATGAATGTTAAATTCCCATTTCCTATCGACCAATGAGCAACATTTTTCTATAAAATGCAGATATCAAGCTGTGTTTCACCAAGATACATGTTACAACAACATGACATAACCGATAGGATGAGAGGCATTCTCATCGACTGGCTAATTGAGGTAACATTATGCAACGATTTACTTGTTTCAGACCAAATGCAGAATGATGGGATTTCTGATTTCGAAATCAAATGAAACAATAGGTGCACTACAAATTTGAACTGATGGAAGAGACCTTATATCTGACGGTCAATCTGATTGACCGGTTCTTGGAGCGTCAACCTGTATCAAGAAAGAAACTCCAGCTCGTTGGAGTGACAGCCATGCTTTTAGCTTGCAAATATGAGGAAGTTTCTGTGCCTGTGGTTGAGGACTTTATAGTAATTTCTGACAAGGCTTACACAAGAACAGAAGTTCTTGATATGGTAACTATTAAACAAGATCTGATGATGGCCTACTTTTTCGTTAATGATCTCCATTAAGACTCATATTTGTTTTCATTTGACCGTCATTAGGAGAAGGTAATGGTGAATACCCTTCAGTTCAATTTCTCGGTTCCAACTCCATACGTGTTCATCAAGAGGTTTCTCAAAGCTGCACAGTCCCACAAAGAGGTCTGCCCTTTCATTTGATGTTATTTTTATCGGTTCTTTGTAAGAATTAGCGATTCTGGATAAAAGTGGCAAATACGACAGCTTTTTCTTTCATTTTTTCCTGATCGTTGTTCTCGTTTTGAATGTAGTTGGAGCTACTATCATTCTACTTGATGGATATGTGCTTGGTGGAATATGAAATGCTGAAGTTCCCACCTTCATTACTAGCAGCAGCTGCTGTATTCACAGCTGAATGTACTCTGAGCAGATCAAAGCAATGGACCAAAACAAGTGAAGCTCATTCACACTATTCTGAACATCACCTATTGTAAGATTCCGCCCCGCCCCTTTTGGTAAATTTTATGCATAATATGGTTTCACACCCGAATGGTTCAGTTCCAGTTTGACGAAAAAAGATTAGTTAATAAAAAAAAATACCTTTTGTTTCTGTTTAGCATTCCCTTTTGGTTTTCTATTTGAAAACTATTTGTTTAACTTGGAATCTTTATTTGTGAAAAATGATATGAATGTGAACTGAATCAAACCATTGTGTGGGATATATTTGACTCGTTTGGTTTGGTTTAAGGACGTAACCAAAACAAAGCTTTGTGTGGGATATATTTGTTTCGTTTGGTTTTGGTTGGTTTATGAACTGAACCAAAAGAAACCTCCGTATGAGATGTTTGGCTCGTTTCGTTTGGTTTATGAAGTGAACCAAAACAACCCTCTTCGTGGTATATATATGGTTTGTTTTGTTGGTTTGGTTTAGGAACCGAAAGAACCATTTATACTTGAACATATGTGAAAAATGAACCAAAGGTTTGGTTTATTTTGCAATTCCAACATGAACTAAACAAAACCGAACCATTTTCACTTGTAAATTTATTGAACAATTTGTCGTATTTTTTCACCAGGGAATGCACGAAGATGATGGTTAGTTTACACCAAAAGTCAGGCAGCGGAAAACTTGTCTCAGTTTTCAAGAAGTATGGCACATCGAAATATGGCCATGTAGCGCGAACCCAACCTGCTCACTTCATGTTGGAGTCGAGGTTCTGGAATTGATTATAAAATTTTACAAGTTATGGTGGCGTTTTATGTCGAAAATGTTGGGTCTCGTGAGCAACATATAGTTGCCGTTTAGGTTGTTTGAATTTTTGTTAGGATTTCCCGCAACTATTTAGATCGCCTGTGAGCGGATCTATTCGTATGTTTGATGATGCCGTGTTTTTAACCGTTTACGAAGTTATTGTTTTAATGTGAAGCATATGTTATTAGTATTCTTTTCTCCCTTGGATTCGTCATTTTGCTCATATATTCATAATAATGACCGGATTGTTAAGTCATGCTTCATAGTTGGAAAAACGAGTACCGTGGAAATACATGCCGCTATGCTAAAGGAAGATGATGACGAGTTGACTGAAACACGTACTAATTACTTCTCGAGCTATCTCTAATCATCGATAATAATTTATCGACAAAGAATCCCTTAGATATGATGCAAAATGGATTTTTCGACAAGGAATCCCTTAGATACCCACAAGAGTGGTGTCTGATTGGTTTGAGCTTGGCTCCAAATGTCAAAAGCACCAGGAGGTCTCAGGTTCAAATCCAAGTAGGAATAAAAATCCCCTTGTGGACACGGAGGTTCAAATACGGTGACTTCGGACTATCTGCAAAGCAGGTGGTTGCCCTTAGATTAGTCAGCTCGCATAACGGGTTGAATATCCAGGTTAATAAAAAAAAGCATAGAATTTTATAAGTAATATTACAGTTTTTAATTAAGCAATAAGCAAAAAGACAATTTTAACCTCAATAATAGAGAGAGTAATGAATTTGTTAATCTTATAATTAAGGACAAAATTGAGATATAGATAATTTTTATATTAGACATTTATTTTAGGACAAATTAAAATAGAAACGTAGACACCTACTTTTCTACCGGAAAATTGTCATTGTACATGATAAATGGGTTTTCAGTACATGACATCGATTGATTTGACATTTTCTTTCACCGAAGCAAAAAATATATAATATAAATTGATAACTTGATGTTCACATTAACAGTAATTACTATAAAATCTATCGATTACGGATCAAAATACATACTAACAGTGAAAACGATTGATTTACATAGATCCACAAAAACAATCAACCATTGCTGAAATACTTATTCAATTGTGGATTATTGTGTGGCTTAATTGGTAAGTCGTAGAGACTATGGACACATCGCTTATTCAATAAGTTATTCATTGATTTTTTGATAGTGACTTAATTATACATAAATATGATTTGGGTTGGTTGTCATTTTTTGGGTTGGTTGTCATTTTTTGGGTTGAGTTGAGTTAAGATTTTTCAAACCGTAAGGATTGGGTTGAGTTGTTTAAATGTCTTCAACCCGACCAACTTAATCCATGAACACCTCTGTTATCTGTACAAAACTTATTAACTTAATGAAAAACCAACTAAAAAACGTTGTTCAGTTGCTTTTTCATTAAGCTCTATATAAAGTAAACTGTCTATATTCAGTTAAATTTATGTTGTGCTAAATAAATGACCTAAACAACGTAAATTTATATTTTTACCCTTTGTTATACCTTCCCAAAAAAACACTCTCATCGCAGGCTACTTTCTTCCACCGCCGGTCTCCCAACTCCATTTCTGCTTCTGCTTCTGCTTCTGTATGCTCGAAATTTTCAGGTACGATTTCTTGAATCCATTGGTAAGATTTCTTGAATCCACTATTAAGATTCTCTACGTCTCCTTCTTCCTGAAGGTTAAGATTACTCAATGCTCCATCCATCGATGATGTTACGATTCCTTCACTGCTCCTTCCTGTTACGTTTTCTTCTTGCTGATGTATGATGTTATGATTTAGGGTAATGAAGCTAGAACCGTGGGGATGTGATTTTCTTTTTGTTCTTCGCTCCCTCCTTTGGGATATGATTTTCTTTATCAACTGTTCTGTCACTTGGGTGTGACTTCTTTTTTCTTGAATTCACTTCTATGATTCTTTCTTATTGATTATGATAAATAATATATACGTTATGATAAATATGTTAGATAGGATTATGATTATGTATGTTTGAAGATTGTCGGGTTTATTATATTTATGCATACAAGGTGTTTGATGAAATGTGGGTGAGAAATATGGTTTTTATTTTGTTTATATTTGGGTTTTATGTAATTCTTAAAATGATATGGTATTGCAATGAAGTAGTAATTTATTGATTTATTGTGATTGTTGGTTAATTAATTTCAAATTTTCAATTAATTATTTTTTATGCATTCCTTGTTTGTTGTTCATTTTGTTTAAGCCTCGGATTAGATCATGGCACTTTGTTTTTTGTAGAAAGTGTTCGATGAGATGGCTAAAAGAAATGGTGTTTGCATGTATTAGGTTGTTTGACGAAATGCCTAACAGAAATGTGGTGTTTGCACATATAGTTTTTACTATAGACTATGCACAAACTAGTTATTTTCAACATGCCGACTGTTTATTCAGCAGACCAACCAAACAACAATTTATCTTAAATCATACCGACAACTTAATCAATACCAGCTTCATTCATACAGGACTTAATGGAAAACCAACTAAACAACCCCTTACTAAACTACTTAAACCCTAAAACCTTTTGCAATACCTACCTCACTCTGGTGTCCTTCGTCGTCGTCTTCTGTGTTGCCCTCTCCGCTCCTCTGCACCGTGTAGTTTATGAAGCGACAATCACTGGGACATACATCAGTATCAAAACCATTTTCAAAAGGTATGTTCCAGATCATCTCCTTGTTTCTCTTCCTCTTCTGTTTGATTTCACTAAAAAGCTAATCCGTTTACGATCATATCCCCCTATGCCTTCCCTGAACCCAAGCATCAATCACGCCTTTACCCACATTATTTCTGCCACGAGTCTAAACATTGACATTAGTTATAGTTTCATGCAAATACCCCATTTCAATTTAAATCTATAGGAATCCGTGTTTTATGGATTGGGAAATGTTGGTTTAAATTTATTGCTTGGTTGAATTTGGGGATCTTGTTTGCACCGAATTGTGCCTGTAACTTGTTTAAGGTTATGGTGGTTGTTAAGTTGAACTTCTGTAGTTGTTAAGTGAGCTAGTGCCTGTTTCGTCTTTGTCTTAATGTTCTTTTTTGACAAATGAATGAAGTCTCACAATGTGAGAACATATCTTAAGGTTCTTGTTGCATTTAGTGATATAGAAGAAGACAACATAAAGTATCCATCTAGAAGAATGTACAACATATGTGTGTACTTCCTTACACACCCCTCTCTAAATTATCAGAAATCTTTCACTGTTTATCAACTAAGTTTGAATTTTTCTAGATTAACTTTACTACTTCATTATGCTGGCAATAGTGATATATGAAGAATGTTAATTGGAACTCCTGGTCCCTGCCCTTAAGAAAAATATTGATACTTTTCAGCATAAAGAAGCAACCGAAAGCTGAAATCTAATAAACTTTGTTAGAACCAGCTGTGGCTATAATTTAGTAAGTTCTATAAGAATCCCAGGAGGCAAATCAAAAATCATTTAGGATTTCTGAGTTCATTCATAAAAGCTCTTCTGTTGATCAGCTGCATCTTTTGCTAATTGATCATGTAAATGGAAAATCGTGCATTTTGCACAACTATTAAACACAAATGGGTGTTTGATCGAACAGGTTTGAGATTTCTTGATGGAAACCTACATATCTTAGATGTGATTTCAAATTCTCGGATTTGGTAACTTTCTGTTGCTCATCAAACATCTTCTGTTGCTATGCTTTTTCTTCTATCCTCAACTGCAATTTTCTTTGAATCTCTCCCGTATTCTCATTTAAGGCTCCCCCATAGATCAAAATTCTGCCAACATGCCGAGCTGGAAGCAAAACCATCAATCTGCTGTGACCTTAGAATTATTATGATTCAATAGAGGAGATTAAATTCATTGCTTCATGAAGAGTTGTCTACACAAGAGAGCTAGTAAATAACTGAATGGTTGTGTTTATACCAAAACATAGTTGCTAGTTGGAATATTCTTGTGAAGCTTCACACATGTAGTTCTATGTATTTACTTGTTCATTGAAGAAGATGCTGTGAGTTGCAACAAAACAGTGCCTCAAAACTTATTTTAGATTGTTGTAAAAGAAATAGGTATTAAAGAAAACAAATGCAATATTCATGGTAACCTGATGTTTCAAAGAAATTTCTATACTGATGCAATCAATGCAGGATGTACTGAACTTTACTAGTTTCATTTATTTTGAGCAAAGTTTGAGTCTGTTTGGTCTTTTAACATTCTGTAGGATGTTTTTTTGATATTTCTTGACTGAGTTCAGGCTTTGCATGCATTGGTAAGTATGATTACCTTAATTGTTTATAGTCAAAGAACTCTTCCAAATTTTCTGAATTTATGTTTTCAAGGCTATAAAAATGTATTTACTTTCTTATCTCAGTATGAGCTTTTAGCCTTTCACACAGTTAATTTAATTGTCACATTTTTTACGAAGTGCTTATGAGGAGTCTGAATAATGGATTTTGTAAACAATTGCACTTTTTTGTTCTACTTGGGTGGTAAAGAATAGGAATAATGCTATATCATTATCTGATGTTTGCAGGTAGGGCGAGGAAATTGTAAGTAGCTCAAGATGGCAGCAAATTCTGCTTCTAATTGCATTCATGGTATGTGCTTTTAAGATTTGATTGCTCGAGTGATATAAACAAGTTTTCGTGTAGCACTCTTGTAACTGCCATTTTTTATGAGATCATTCCCCCCGGTATCATTTGGTTTTACATATCCTTTGCTTGCTTTTGGAACTGTAGGGTGTCCGCGTAAGAAAGCTAATTCCTCAAAACCAATCATCACGTGAATTCAATTGATGGAAGCAATGTCCATACTAAGTCACGTTGGTCTAGCATGTCTTTAACTATTCAGGATGCACCACCTTTATACTATTATTAATTAACCTATACACTACAAGGAGAATGAGATAAGTTCCATTGGTCTCATTGCTGACATCAAGGCATAAAGTCGCAACTTTATGAAGTTACCAAGTGTTATCTCATTGTGCGTCGACATTCATTAATGATATTATGTAAAACTGTAATATATAAATCGGGGGGCAGTATTTTTCTTGGTCAAAGAAGCCTCTATAATATGGTTCAAGTAGATTGAAGTTGGCGGTCTTGCTTAAGCTAAATATTGCATATGAGCATGTAACAGAATCACTAACCAAACATATAGTGCCATGGTGTTATCAAGTCCATTTGGCTTCTTGAATAGTTTTGCTGAAGTTTAAGATTTGTAACGATTGTTTGAATGCACTCAAGTATATAATGTTATATAAGACGGTAATAAAAGGTTTTATGCTTAAATTGAACTAGAAGTCGTCAAATAACACTTTCTTTTGTGGGGTTTGAACACGAGGGAATGATATGTTTGTTTGACTCCTCCTTGTAAGTAATTATCATCTCTATGTAGTTCGCTCGAAATTCTGCTTACTTCATCTGGGAATATGCAATTGTATATTGCCATCCAAGGCTTTTGGAGGATCTCATCTTTCGAATATAAAATATTTACAACCAAAAGCTGTAGCTTTTTCACTAATTTTTGTGCATTTTGTGGTGCATCTTGTCAATTGAGTTCAGGCATTGTTTTTGTAACTTGATGTCCATGCAACTTATGTTCACCTTTATATATGCAGTTCTTTTACAATAACAACTTAAATTTTGCATAATTAGATCCATACTATTTTTTGCGTTTTGTAATAAGTTTTGCATTTTCTGATTGTCTGCGCTGTTTTATGCATGAAATTGAACCAAACTAGTTGGCCGTTCATTGTTGCGGGGACTTGGCAATTTCTCTTCAGGCATCCTGAGATCGTCACAGGAGACTACCTGCAATAGTTTCTTGGCACAGGTTTGCTCTTTTATGTAAATTTTGACATGTAAATTTTTGTTCCATGCTGGTGTGTTTGGTGCATAGGACATGACAGGACAAAAATTGCTGTCCCATGTTTGGTGCGATATTAAGACTGGGACATGACAGGATTGAGTGGGACAAAAATGTTCTTTTTTCGTCCCACCAAAATAGATGAAACAAAATCAGGAAGATCGAACAAGATTGGTAAATTACTGAACTACCCATATCAAATTAAAACCCTAAAACCTTGCAAAATTCTGTCACCTGCCTACTTCACTCTCTTCTGTCCTGTCTAGTCCAATCTACGTACCAAACGCACACGTACCAAACGCACCCTGATGGATTCCATTTGCTATGCATGAGATTTCTCGTTTTATTTTAATCTGAAACACTTTTTTAATTCAATGTCCTTTCCAGCAAATAAGGACTTTCATACAGATGAGATCCAATCTTAAAGTGGTAGACAACTCCGGTGCAAAGCGAGTAATGTGCATACAAGCTTTGAAGGGGAAGAAAGGAGCCAGATTAGGGGATACAATAATTGCATCAGTGAAGGAGGCCCAACCAGGAGGAAAAGTAAAGAAAGGACAGGTGGTGTATGGTGTAGTTGTCCGTGCCGCTATGCAGCGTGGCCGGTGCGATGGGAGCGAGGTCAAATTTGATGATAATGCTGTTGTACTTGTTAACAAGCAAGGCGAGCCAATTGGAACCAGGGTTTTTGGCCCTGTCCCACATGAGCTAAGGAAGAAAAAGCATGTCAAGATACTCAGTCTTGCGCAGCATATTGCATGAGGTATGAATCCTTCAAATGATCAGTTTTTTCGCCCTCTTTGCTGCTAACTTTTATTTTAATGACACAAACAATGACATGAAACTTGATATGATCTCTCAACTGCACGGATGTCTATTACTCCCTCCGTCCCAAAATAATTAACCGAATGACGAATTTACCCTTGATGATAGAACCAAACCTGCTCTCTTTCTCTCCCCTCCTCCATCTCATCAACTCTTAAAAATATTTGTGCGTCAAAGTCAAGGGTATAATTGGAAATTCAATAAATTATAACTACCTATTTTGAAAGTGGATGCTTATTTATTTTGAGACAAACTTAGATGGAAATGTGGACACTTATTTTGAGGCGGTGGAAGTAATAAAAAAACTTTCTTTTCTAGTTTCTATGAAGTGTGATAATTGAAGGGATAGCTGATAGCGTAGTTTCTTTCTTGCTTGCTTATTCCTTTTTGTTTTAATACCCTGGTATTTTCCACTCTCGGTCCAACTATTTTAGGCTTTTCGCAATCTCTCATGGCCCAAAGAAACTAGTTGCTTTGCTTCTATATGATTTGGACTTGGGATCTATTGCAGCCAAGTCTCAAGCCATATTCATTAGGCTAGTTAGCATACCAAATCAAATGAACCCAATGTATCCTACTTGGAGATGAGTATATCACACTCGAAGGTGCGGTCTGGTGAGATGTATGCAGACATGACCCCTACCTGGAGAATAGAGCGGATGTTTCTATGAAGACCCCCGGCTTACAAAAAGTGTGTGTGATTTTAGAAAGGTAGCCTGAAAATATACTATGTTTGGGAAGGAGGAAGAGACCTTTTGCAATATGCTAATATACTACGTTGGTCGGTGAATAGATTATGGATGTGGTTTTTGTGAAAGGCAAATTACATGAAAACGCAATAAACTTTGTTTTGATTCTTATTAAATACGACGTACTTTCAAAGCCTTCATTTTGGTATCTTACATCTGAGATCTCAAACATTTAGACCAAATTTTCATGCAATCTCTAACCCATGTATTTAAATGTTTGAGATGTCACATCTCAGGTACGAAAATGAAGTTTTTGAAGATATGTTACAATAATAGGAATCAGACCAAAATGAACACTTCCTTGTCAAACTCAAACACGTATCCATCTTTTTACCGGATGGTGACCCTTCGTGTGTGATCATTTGTTGACGGTTAAGTTGTTTTACGTTTCAGGTTTGCAGTGGTGAGAGTAACCCGAGTAGATTCAGATTGTCGGTTGCAGAATCTGAGCTTTTGGTTTTGTTAGGAGAATTGTAAAGATTTTGGTGATTGCATGCACCATAAACTGTTGATGTTTTACATTCTTGTTGGTTTTCAGTACCACACAAGAGTTGCTCTCTTCATTTGAATGCATTTCTTTGACAAATTCACAGTTCATGCATGTATGAGTGAACATTTCAATCAAATTTGTTTTTGATGAAAATATCATTCTCTATCTTGTGTGTCACGAATCACAAAGGTCAAAAGTACCAGGAGGTTTCAGGTTCAAATTCAAGGAGGAATAAAAATCTCCTTATGGCCACGGAGGTTCAAATGCGGTGACTCCGGGCTATCTACAAAGCAGGTGGTCGCCCTGGGATTAGTTGGCTCACATAGCGGGTTGGATACCCAGGTTAATCAAAAAAAAAATCACACAATATGTGCCATCTTGTTTGTATGAAAAATTGACCAAACTAGTCATTTTTTAGCCTATCTTTTTTTAGTTTGATCAAAATAGCCAAGATTTTGCAAGTACTCATCTCACAACTTGCGAATGGTACTTTTTTTTGAATTAAATATGATTCTAGTGGGATCGGTCTGAGAAATTTGCAGAATGTTCTTTTGGCTTGCGAAATCTGCTTAGTGGCTTGCGAAATGACCCGTTAGAATTTTTGTTCATAACATAATACATTTCGTAAGTTGTAAAGTAGGCAATTACGAGATTCTTTTAGTTCAAACATAAAAAAAGTTAGCCTGAAAGTGAAGATGTAACATACTTTTAAAGCCTTTATTTTTATACTTTGGATGTGACATGTCAAACATTTAGACCAAATTGTGTTAGACGAAGATGAACCGAACCAACATATCTTGCATTTCTTAGATGTAAACCATATTTCGAGATGTCACATTTAAGGCATTAAAATGAAGATTCTAATAGTACGTTACATAATGTAGGAAATTAGACTATATAACATTTTAAGATTACTAAAAGACCTTTAGCTTAGCGGTATGTAAGTCTTTGACCTCCTAGAAGGTTAAGAGTTCAAACCTCACCAAAGCTGAGGAGGGTGTGTGAGTTTATTTGCCGTATATAAATATTATATACATAAAAAAACCATTATAGATTCATGCAATTTGTCTTTTTCTGAATGTACTATATTTTTATATAAATTGAATTAACGTATCATAACTTTGATGAATTAAGATAACATATTATAACTTTTTTTTTATTAACCTGAATATCCACCCGCTATGTGAGCCGACTAATCCCAGGGTGACCGCCTACTTTACAGATAGTCTGGAGTCAATGCATTTGAACATTTGTGGCCACAAGGGGATTCTTATTTCTCCTTGAATTTGAACCTGGGACCTCCTAGTACTTTTGACCTTTAGAGCGAAGCTCAAACCAATCAAACACCACTCTTGTGGTTACATATTATAACTTTATGAACATCAAATATATAATGTATTGTAACTTTGTAAATGGAAGAATCCTTTTAGAAGTATCATTAAACTTTCTTGTTTAAGACGTCTAGTGAGAGATACCAAAAAATACGTTCAATTTCGATACAATTTGTTCTTTTTGGACAAAAACGACAAAAATTAAGTTCGTTAACATTAGCAAATAAATATTAAGCCTTAAAGCTCCACTCAGTAGGTCGTCAACTCGAGCATCCTCAACAGCACTGGAGATTAATGGAGATACACACAAGCTAAATCGAACACCCAAAAACTAAGGCCTATTTATAATACTAGGCAAGTGCATCGTTAGACACGATGACATCACCAATATCCTTCTTCCCGCTAACTGGGGATATGACAATGTTGTTTACCGACACCCTCTAACCCACAATGCGACTAACCAAGTGTCCAAGATGATGTCCTAATAACAATCAGGAGCCGTACTCGGTCAACTCTTACGCAAACCGAACTTGATAAATGATTGCCCAATTTATATTGGCAAACGGCCCTTTCGTTTGTCAAATGCCATTAGACCAAATTTGGCTTTATTCGACTAGTTCGCATAAGTTCACCATCAACAATACTTGCATATCTTGCATTAAATCAAATCGAATTTAAAGAGAGGTATCTCACAGTGTTTCGTACAATACAATGAACAAATCAAATTCATTGAATCCGGCAAACAATATTCAAGACATCAAATAACATCATATGGACCGACCAAAACACTTAAAGAAATAGGCATACTTGTAGAATGAGTGGCCAGACGCCAATCCACCTTGCAGGCTATGAGTTGCGTTCAAGAAAATACAAGTGCCAATACAATTACCACTAAAACTATGCGCCGATTTAAATCATCCCAAATCTATTTCAAGTTTGCATTTTAAAACAATAAACCTAAACCTGTGGCACAGACAACGTTCGAAAGTAACTGACTTAGAGATCGATCACTTCACCTCCCCCTCCCAGGAGCAGCAGCACCACCACGGCCAGCAGCCTGAGCCTGCACAACAGGCAAAAAGAAAACATCAGACGTCACAATTTCAGATGCACGCTAATCCCTGATAAAGGTGACGTTATACTTTCTACTCGTTCAATCAATAAAACCAAACCAAACCAAACCAAACCAAACCAAACAGACCCAGTAATTTAGGGGTGTCCATCGATTGAAATCATTGGATATTACTATTAGTTATCCATTGGATCAGGTTGGACCCATCCAATTTTCCGACCAATCAATGACCGTTTCAACCAATTATTCGTATATTTTTCTAGTTTTCTTAAAAACACTACATAGAAATATCAACTAAAAACAATAGTGTAAAGTGTTACTAATGATATATTTATTAATTGGATGCTAGTTCAATATAATTGGATCGGATGGGTTTGGTTTTATTGTATTCTGGATTTTTATCCAAAAACCGACCGGTCCAATATGAATGTTGAAATTTCAAATATGGTCTGATCCAATTATTGCCCGCCAGCTCTAATGTATCAGTATATCCCACCTGAAGGCAGGGTCAGGGGTATGGGCAGACCTTACCTCTGTCCCAAAAGATAGATAGGTTGTTTTCAATGATAATAACATCTACAAAGAGTCAAAGATGTCGAAGGTGCACAAGTCTAAAACCCACGAGCATCTAGCATCAACTCGCAAGAGCATGGATCTTCATATTTAAGAAACAACTTTGGCAGGAATCCGTTAAAACACCAAACCACAAGGACAAAAAAGTAATTCACTCTTGAAAAAACTGCAAGTCGGGGTCTCCGGATAAACAGTCTAGTCTCTATACTTAGTGTACATTTCGTACAGAAACAGGCGGACCGGTCAAGCAAAGGGGTGTAACTGAGTTATGGTTTAGATGGTTACTGGGAATATCTCAAGACACAAGATCAAAAGTAATTAAGTGATATACAACTCAGCCCCTCTTTGCTTAGTGATGACATGCATATGCATAAAGTATATACTCTCGGCGGTAATTGTGATACTTACCCGAGCTCGCATCGCAACAGCACGGCCTCGACCAACACCAAGTGCTGAACTTTTACCCTTCAAGCAAGAAAAGTTGCATAATTTAGAAACAAAGTAACAACAAAACTACTCCCTCCATCCCAAATTAAGTGTACACTTTCAAAAGCAAGTGTCTACTTTCCAATTCTAACCTTAACTAAGAGACAAAGAAATTTATTGCTCCCTCTATTATTAAGGGTAAAACCGTCATTTAGTTAACTAAAAAATGTAATAATTACATATTCTTACAACCATGTTTTTTTTTTTCATTTCGGACATTTATCTTAGGATGGAGGGACTATAATGTAGATACTAAAAAATGTGACCAGCTGAGAGCATGAAAGGTAGGTACCTTAATTCTAGCTTCTAATCGCTTGAACATAGGAGCATTCTTAAGCATGTCTGGTATGATCATAAACCTGCAAAGTTTGTCCACATGTCAAAAAAATATTAGTGTAATGAAAACAGCTAATCTCGGAGAATAACCCCACACACCTAACTTTGCTGCCTCGAATGAAGACATGCTCAAGTTGTGACACCTTCCCATCCTGCAGATGAACAAACCAACATCAGGGTTTCGTTGTTTATAAGTAAAACAACTTACAAGAAAAGTCATCATATCAAGAAAGCAAATTCACAGTGACCATATCAATATGATATGTCAAACTTTGAAGATGGTCATAAGCACAGCCAAAATAATAGCTCAATGTGTGCAACCAATGGCGTATTCACATAAAACATATCCACAATATAAAAGCAGAAAAACACCACATCTCAAGCATTTTGTGTTGTCTGTGAATATTTTGGACCAACATACTCAATGGCTGTAACTGAAGAATGCATATTCAACAAATACTTCCTTCAGATGAATGATATATTAGCTTCCTTATCACATATGTGCTTGAAACATATGGTTTGTTACAGGTTCACATGTAGGAGAAAGTTGTTTCATTGCTCTCTTTGGCGTTTGATCATTGGAACTCAAATTGATAGTTTTAGTATGAGACAACGTATATTAGATATGCAATTCCATGGTGTGTACCACTACCATCACAGACTTGAGTTCTTTCCCAAATTCTGATACATGATCATGAATATGTCCCGTGTATTCAAATATCATACCTATTCATATTATATGGCAAGATGGCAACTATGTATCATGATACACTTGCTTCACCCAGATTAAAACAGCTACCTCCTTCAGCATGTATCTCAATTGACAATTCACTAATATTACAGATATTGGCTCTGCATATGGTTGTTGATCCAAACCGAGTCAATATTGGGTTATTCAAATATGACTCATTACATTATTGAGCTCTTTCTACACGAGCAAAGGATTTACTCGCACGCACATCAACTGCTAAAGCAAAAATGATAACAAATCATAGAACTAGTAAACTAAGGTATGCATGTCTGTTGCAGCCAAGACTATGATGCATGTGTTGAGGTGGCGGCACCAGCGGCTTGTAGTTGGAAGAACGAAGGTTTATCACTGGATGCAGCAAGGGTGTGAGAAGTGATTATTCCTTAGATATGTATTCTAGATTCATTTTAGTTGAAAATCTCCTGATGGATGTACACTTTGTTACACATATGGTTGTTGTGGGGACTGTTTCAAAATTTATAGACTAAAAAAATTGAAAAAGCTTCAGGGGTGTAGTAGTAATTGTCTTGAGTTTATAGATATATTTTTAGCTTACAAAAGAAAAATATAAAAAATAGGAAAGAAAGCAGACTGCAGAAGATGAAAAGAGAACAATATAAATAAACAAAATCCAGTCCAAGTCACTTCATTGGGTTTCAGTTTGCTTCTCTCATGACCCAAGCTCTCCCTTTGTTAATGTTAAGCATTCGTCCTCAATTGAAGCTCTGTTAGCCCTTGCACCTAAAAGATTAATTGGGGTCGATAGGCAGACGACAACGACCGAACCAAACACACTGATGGCACAGAACTGGCATCCATGCACCCAATTCTGCACCAAAGTGAAGTTCTCACAAGAACTAAAGATTTCATGAAACATTGAGCCAATGATAGTGTATAGAAGACCTTGAGTTGAGCTGAGTACATGACATGGATTTCACATTTTGTAGATAGGAATTTTGAGTTTAGACATGCTCTTTAGAGTTCCTCTGACTTTCAGAGAACTTCTTTCTCACTAGAAAGTTGAAAGGATCCCCATAAAGGCCAAGAGATATATATCAATAGGCGAGCGAACTAGAAATCGTCTCAAAATGTAAGTCATGGGACCTAATCTACTTCATTCGATGTAAACCTTCTAGCTGGCTGATGCCTACAGGATGTAGATACAAATATGATGGCCTGACTACCTTTTTACTTACTGATGCAGGACAGAATTAGGTTACAAAAAAATGTGATACTAATAAAGACGGTAAAGAGTTAGGCTTTCACGTATCCACTCTCCAAGACCCCAAGATCTCTCAGGAGTCAGGATTACACCAAAGATAAGCACAATAAAACTCTAATATCCAGATGTGAACAAAATACAAATATGCCAACAACTCAAAGTTCACACCTTATCAAAATAAATAAGAAAATAATCAATGACCCTGACAACTTTTCTTATTATTTTCTCTGTTAACTATATGTTTCTAATGATACGAATGTTATATCACCACACTTGTAAATATGGTATATAGATTCGTTAAACAACACAACTAAGAGACACCAGAATTTAAACTCCCAATTTACTGTGAAGAGCACTGTTCAAAGGGTTCACATCAATATCTGAGTCTCAGACTGGGCTACCAATGCCCGAAGAGACCCAAACGCTAAACAAACATATTGAGGTTCCTGTTTATGAAGCATGCTTATCCTGAAATACATGAACTCTAGTCTCATGCTTACACACTTGAACCTTAAGATGTTGCAAAAAATATACTAACTTTCATTATCTAATTTCAATTATTAAGATCTAGCAAAATAGAACATGAAAACCTATTACACTGCTACTGATTTCTATTATAAAATCCCCGATTCATCAGTTTAATGCTTCAATATGCAAACTAAGTCTTAAAAGCATGCACTAATTAAGTGGGATTAATCAGAATAGGCAAGGATTAATCGGGTTTCCCTGTAAATTATATCCGCAAACTAAGTTTCCTGCAAAATACCAAACCAGTTAAAAAAAAATTAAATCAGCTTAATTCAAAAAACATTTATATCCATATCAAAATCAAAGTCTACATTTTGTAGCACAATCATTTTGAACTCGAAGCAACAAAATATCAATCATGGTCATACACAGAAAAAACTAATTGAATGACTTTGCAATGGTTATTTAATTCACCGGAAGATAAAGGAGGGTTTTGACTATCAGAATTTCTCATCTTCTTCAAAATCTCTAATCTGTGGCAACCACAACTCATGGCTCAGGAGATGTCACTACCATTTGACTAATCTGACAAGAAAATACAAATATGATTTTTTCCACAAATAAAGTTTATTTTGCCTTCCTTGAATAGTCTAATCTGTGACACCATGATGTTTGGGACTACAAAAACCCAAATCATGATTAAGTTACCATTGACAAAATATGGCAATACTTGTCCACCATGTCCATACAGCAACAAAACTAGAATTCTGATCTCATTGCTTTAAGGATTCATTTGAGAGAAGTAAAATCCTGTCTTCACAGAAGTATTTGAGTCCTTCCTCCCGCACTTGTTCATTATATTTTCACAAGTACATTCTTTAACGTTCATAAAAACCATATACACCAAATTAGGTGCTCCATATGCAAATTACTCTGAATAAACTTGTCACCTTAGTGTTTCAAACTTAACCAGCCTGAAGAGCCAGTAGTACTACAAAAAGAAACCATCCTAAAATGGGTACATAATTTAAACTACACTTTGCCATTGGAATTCATGCATCAAGCCTACAACCTATGAAAATGATATTAAAGGAAGTTATACCATGCAACACACAACAACTTATTTTAAGGCAAAATCTTCTTTTGCATATAAACGAAACTAGGGTTTAGGGTTTTAGGAAATACCCATATTATGTCAGCGTTTAGTTGCTACACACGTTTTTACATTAAATTATGATAATTGCAGACGACGAAAGACATACAAATATAGCGTTTAGGGTTTCATATCATCACACAGCACCCAGTAGAAAGTTTCAATCGAGGGTTTAAAAAAATCATTAGAAAACAAAATCAAAAAAGTAGATCGAATGACGGAAAATCAAAACTTATAATCGATCGGAATCGATGAAAATACGAACCTTAGCGGTGAAAGTGACGTTTTCGACTTGGCAGTTCCAGTTATCTTCGCATTCAACCAAGCTTCCTCTGTAGACTTCTCCACTCTTGAGTTCCACCGTCACTATGTGTCCGGCGGCCTCGTGTAACAGCTTCACCGGAATCCCTAAACTCCGACTCATTGTAGGTCTGAGTGGGTACTAGTCGCCTGAAAGGGTTTCTGAGACAGAAATTCCCAAATTCAAGGCCCCTCCCAGACCTTTTATTTGATAAAAAGAATTGATTTGTTTTGTTAATTAATAATTAATTTTTTAAATATATAATATTTATATATTTATATACGACAAATACAACAAATAAATTTCAATGAATTATTATTATTTTATATAATATGTTTTTTATAAAGTATGTTAGGATGATAAATTAAATAATATTATAATAATATAACTTATGTTAAAATCTCTAAAATAGATAATCTACCGGAGTTCAGTAATTCTTTTATAAAGAACTTGTGGTAGATATTTTTTATATTTTTAATTAATTAAATAATAATTATATTCTTAACAGCGAAGGGAGATAATTTTTTTCTAAAATTGATTGGAACTGAAAATCCTATTTAATCTGATTGAAGCCCTAGCTGGTACAGAAAATAGTCAGAGCTTTACGTGACTAAAAAAGTAATGTTCATTCGATCCAAATCAAAAAGAGGTCGTCTGAAAAGGACTAGCCAACTTGGTCTTGATTTTCGACCGATATTTGTCATACCCCATTTACATGTTTTCTCATTTTTAAAAACTGATATATGTTAAAAAAATCGAATATATATATAGCGACCAAATGAAAACCATTCAATTTGTAAAAACCGTAAAAACTTCATTCCACAAATCATAATTTTTCATTTTGTTCATTTTTTTGTAATTATGAGAGGTTGATTAATCATTTTTATTGTGGAATATGTTAATTATGGATATAATCATCTTCGTTATTTTAATTTTAGAGAAATAAATGAAACAGTTTCATTAAAATTTCATTAAGTAGTATATGAAATAATTTCATAACCATATATGAAACAACTTCATCAAAAAAGGTATTATATGAAACAATTTCACAAGATTAAACAATTTCATGAAAAAATTTCATAAGATTAAACAATTAAATCGACGGATGAGAGTAGTTTTTACGGTTTTTACAAATTGGAGTAGTTTTCATTTGATCGCTCCTCTATACACATACATGTATATATATACATATATATATAGATATAGATATATATATATATATAGAGAGAGAGAGAGAGAGAGATTTGAATATACGTTATAAGACTAAGGTGTCATTTGGCATTTTTTTTTATTGCGTTGAATAAACAACATTTACATATAGGTGGTTTCAAGAGAGACCGTTAAAAAAAAAAGGTGAACAAGTATAGTCATTCGAGCCATTCATTTATTTAACTTAATAGCTGTGAAGAACACGTGCAATTACATTTTGTTGAACTAAATTCACAATCATAAGAACAGTTACATTCGAATCTAGAACATCTATTTTTTAGATCCAACAGTTAATAGAAGTCCCTTTGATCCTTAGGGTTTTCTCTTGAACCTCCATTGGCTTGAACGTTGACTAATAAGTAAAAGCAAGATGATATTAAACAAATTTGTAAAACCCTTTATTTCGACATGGAAAACAAAATAATCAAAACCAGATGTAAATGCAGCTTCAGCTCTTTACTCGCAGTGACAGGAGGCAAGAGTCACCACCCTTGCACAGTAACACTAATCGGGTAAGAGTCTTTTTCATCATTTACCAGATAAAATTTCCGGTTCTTGTTACCTTTTACCGGGTAGGATTCTGAGTTTGTCATTCTCACAATCTAATCCAGTTAGCTGAATCAAATAAAATACGATACCACATGTACATAAATTCGAGACAAGCCGATGCAAATACAATTTCAAAATACTTGTAGTTTGATGACTTTTTATAGACAACTGACATCTAAGATTCATTTTGTTTATAAATCTTTTTCCTGATATTTCATCATCCATTCTGTTCGTCTCATCCTCGATCCTTCTTTCACGTTCATTCTTCTCACGCATCAACATAAAAAAGTAAGAGCCTTTGATCTTACGGTATCCAACAACCTAATATTCCCAAAGGAGAACGGGTCCAACTCTCAAATGTGGAAAGTGTGTGTGAGTTTCACTTATCAAATAAAAATACTCTGGGCCGTTTACCAAACTTTTACAGAGTAAGCGCTTACCAGATGTCACTTATCTTACCTGATGAACATGACAAGAGCCAAAAGTCTTACTCGATAAGAGATATAGAAAAGACCAAGAAAACCCCAAATTCAAACAACTTCAAGAAGATGTTTCCATTAAAAAAAACAAAGAAAACCACCAAGTTTTCAAAGTTCATAACACCAAAGACCCCCCCCCCCCAATGCTTTCCTTCCTAACTACCAACATCAATCAAATTGCATCTTTGATTGCAACTTCACAAACCCAATAAAACATGGCTTAATAATATCCATGATCATAAAACCATTTCACAAATTGGTAATAGTTGTAATCATAATTGTACCAAGAACTATAAAGAAACCAGTTATTAATACCCTTTTCTTGCAGTCCTCTTCATTGCAGTTTTCTTTTCCACAGTGCCACCAATTGATCTATCAAAGCTCATAGCCAATGGTGGTTTCTTGTTTTCTTTACTGCTACTTCTTAACGAATACCTCTGTGTCGTCGCCACTTCTCTCCTCTCGATCAATGGGGTCGTCATCTTTTTCGCGCTCTCAAATTTCTTGATTTCTCCTGTTCTCTTTGTTGACTCCATCTTAACCCCAAGATACTGTTTGCATGGAGTCTTTTTCTCAACCCCGGATTCGCCTCTCTTCCTTCTCAGCCGTTCGTTCCTTCTTGCAGAGTACTCATCATAAAACTTCCCCCTTTCGAAAAGAGGAGTCCCATTATAAGCATTTGAAGATTGATTTGTATCGGTGGATCCCCTCAAGTTATCTTGAACCATCTTTGTTAAAGCTCTTAATTCAGAAGAAATCGTGTGGTATTCAGGGTGGAGTTCGGGTTCTTCTACGTCCGAAGATTGTTTAGGCAGACAAGATTTCGTGAAAGAAGCTGTAAAATCAAGCAAAGATACAAACTTGAGCACATGGTTGGTGGAAAAGATTATTGCAATCAAGTTCATAGTGATAAAGCTACTGCTTCACATTTTTAATCACATAAATCAAACCAAAACCAAACGAGCACATTATATCTCACACGAAGATGGGTTCCTGGGGATAAGATTATACGCAAACCTGACCTCCACCTCAAAAAGTAGAGCCGTTGTTTCGATTATGTGTTAAAAATTTGTTATTATAGTACATCTTGGAAGAAGTTTATAACAGATCCGAAGACTTGAATCCTAATAACACGTACATGTAAGGAGGATTTTTGGATCTTACATAAAACTTTTCTTTTGAAGAGTTGAATTTCTTAAATCCATCATGTAAGAATCTTGGATGAGTGACTTATAATAAAATCACGGCCATCATGCTACAACAGTCACAATTATGCTTGCGCTTTCGCAACCGGTCATCTAAATGAAGTTCTAGGAGAATAACCAAACTGACACAGTAAATCCACCCGAAAGTAGGGCCTCGGAGGAGTGTGAGATGTATGCACACCTGACCACTATCCCATAAGAGTATAGCGGAGGTTTTGTTTCAGAGTCATGCCAATGGAAAACCTAAACATGACTCTTCAGTCTTCACATCCATGAATCTTTGAACAGATTTTTTTCACTACCAAAAATATGAATTTTGGAAAACCCTGGATACTCGGGTTCAAATACCCATGGATTCACCGTTTGCTCACTGGCTTCAGATGATTCTGAAAATTTTCTTATACAGATGTAGAGAGAAGTTAAGCTAGGCATTTTCACAAACACCTACAAGGCATTCGTAAGTCGTGACATGACCAGTTTCAAATTCACGGTATAAAGAAACCCAGAAATCTTTAATAATCAATCAACCATAAAATCGAAGAAAATGAAGAACTTTCATGATTCTGAACTTGTGAACAGATTTATTTCTATAACAAACAGGCGACTTCTTGAAAATAAAAATTCTTTTTCAAAAGCGACGGAGAAGTTCACCAGAACATTTTCACAAACATCTGGAAGGGTTTCGTGATTTAACAAATTTCATTTCACTAAATCGAGAACCCTGAAACCTCTAGTACTCCGTCAATCGGTTTCCACATAAAATCTACGAAAATGAAGAAAAATACCTGATGGGGTTTGAAGGTTGTTCACAGTTGTCTGACTACCACGACGTGGTCGAAGCCTTATCGGAGATCTCATCGCTAGCGGTGGTTTCCGATCTGATCGCATCATCTTTGACATCTACAGAGAGAATTAGGTTGAAGAATGCAGATTTGACCTTTGTTCTATGATTGTGCAATTTGTGGCGATTTCAAATATTTTGGAATACTTCAAAGTAAAGGTGAAAAGGGGAGCGTATGACCTAACGGTCATATTTGTTGATCCAACGGTCCACAATCGTTTTGGGCCATCTTGTAATAATCACTAAAGAGAATTACATTTTTAGTCCCTGTAGTTTGAAAATTTTAACGGACTCTGCTCTAGTTTTAAACAATTAACGAAACATGCCCATGTAATTTCTACAATTACTTTGATATATCTACAATTACTTTGATATATGAAAAATATAAAATATAAATAAGATAATTATTGAGTTCTAATAAAATACTTAATTATTATATTTAAAAAAAATTATCAGACCAAAAATAAATTAGTTCGTTTTTAAATTTCAATTAAATTATGATATAAAATTAAAATTAAAGAAATTATACAAAAATGAAAACTTTTAAATAGTTAATTTGATATTAGTATCGTTTATTTTTTTCAAAACTTTATAATATCTTCAAATTTATATTTCATTCAAAAATAAAAACATTTTTTTTCTCAAAACCACATAAAATCGCATTATAATATCGATAGACCCAAAATATAAAACGAAATATTAAAATCAAGATGCATCTCGTTACATTGTGCGAATATCCTAATATATCTCATTATTTAATCTAAGAATCTAAATCATCGCAAGAGAAAGACCATGCCTATCGATAACGGTTCCTGACCAGGTCGAGCCAGTTCATGAACCACCAACAATAAACTAGTCCTACCCCACACGGGTTATTCATTAGGTCAAGACACTTTATGAACACCGTGAACAAACTATGTTTCCATTAAGTCATGTGTAAATGAAGTTGTCTTAATGGATTGATCCATCTGTAAAGATAGATAATGTTTTTGGTTTAGTAGGTTTTTTTCATCAATATGAAAAGCGTGTTCTTTAAATTTGGACTTGGGAAGTTGGGAGGGGTAGGTTAGGAAAAAGCTTGATGTTATGCATCAAGCCCTTCCTGTAAGCTTACTGAATAAATCGTTTTCTATATCATTAAGCCACTATCAAATAGTCATGTATAGATGATCGAATGAACCGAGTCTCATTAAGCTGCTAACAAATAGACCCTTAGTAGTTCATGGACAAACTACTCATATCAAACTAGTTACTGACTAGGTCGATCAAGTCCATAAGATCAGAACCGGTTTGATTACAACTAGTTTGTCCCTAATGGTTCATGAACCACGTTAGACAAACTAATCTTACATAGATCGGTTATTAACTAGGTCGAGCTAGTCCCTTGATGAACACGAGCCGGTCTAGTACGACTAGTTTGTTTATGGTGGTTCATAGTCGGTCCATGAACCAACAACAACGAACTACCCAACGGAAAAGAAACATCTACCTAAGAAATGTTATTTTTTTCCTTTGAACCTTTTTGGACATCATGTAATTGAATTCTATTGGCTTGCTTATTTGAAACAATTTATGCTTTTCTATAAAAGTCCTTATCAACTTATTATAAGTTAGAATGATTTAACTTTTTAAATAACTTCTTATTACCGGTCTGCCACCGGTATAAGTTGTTTATCCAAACACTTAAAAGTGCTTATTACAGTGCCACAACGAAATAAGTCAATAAGTTATTTTTATAAGCAATCCCAAACACCCCTTTAACACCACATAGCTAGCTCTATGCATAACAAATTACTTATGCTTTGTTGAAAAACCAATGTTTAGGAGCAAATTGTTGACACTCTGTCTAGAAAAACCGTTTAAATTGTTTCTCGTTTATCAAGGGTCCATTTGGTTTGTAGGAATAGAATAGATTTTGGGGATTTATAATTCAAATCCATCCCAAACTCCTGTTTGGTTTGCAAGATTGCTCGGATTTGAAATTCTACAATTTATTTAAAATATCTTAAACATAGGATTTTAAATTCCCACATAGATGGTTGGAATTGCACATAAGTTCGTAGAATTTGTATATAATAATATTCAAAAATATGTTAAAAACATTTGTTTTGTAGTAACCAGTTAATAAAAAAGGTAATTTAATTATTTTATAACTAGAAGGGTACTCGTGTAATGCAGCGAAATAAATCTCTATTTTAGTGTTTATTTTTAATTATTTTGTTTCTATCAATATAATACGATTTTATGTGGTTTTGAGAAAACGATAATGTTTTATTTTTGAATGAAATATAATTTTGAAGATAGCAAAACAATTTGAAAAAAATAAATCGATATTAGTATCGAATTAACTATTTAATAGTTCTCGTTTTTTTGGTGCAACTTATTTAATTCAAAATTTTATTATAATTTAATTTATATTTAATAACAAAGTAATTTATTTTTGATTTAATAATATTTTTTATAATAAATAAACATTATTTAATTATATTTTAGATTTTCTATATTTAAAATGGATGTCTATCTTGTATTTGATTATGTTTATTTGCAGTTAGTCACACGGATTTAGAAATGAAGCTTTAATAAATTGTACTTACGCAAAACTACTTGTAATCTTGAATTTTAAGCAATATGCATCAATAAACAATACTTCATGTATAAAAAATGATTTTTAAGAGTTTTTATCAAATGCTTTATAATATATTATAGATTTGTTATTACAAATTATTCATAAAGAATGAAATTCAATTTCATTCCAAATCATACAATCCAAATACACCAAAGATTCTAAGTTCTTTCAAATCCAAATCCCCCAAATTCAAAATCGTTCCACGAAATCTAAATCTCTCAAAACCATTTCATCAAATCAAACGCTCCCTAAAGATATTATTGAATGGAAATCGCAAATTTAAAACGATACTTGCCATCGAGAAGATGGCCAATGGCGTCGATAGTCGCTTACTTTTACGTATTTTTAGTTGTTCTTTTTAACGAGTATAATGATTAATTCATATAAAATTGAAAAAATTCAAATTATACCCTAAAAGTGTTTATGTTTTTCAGGCGCTGATCGATCAGCATGGTAACTCGGTCGGCAGTCAACTTGTTTATAAAATTACGGTTCTGACCGAAACTCTGACCGAATACTTATCCAAACAACACGAAAACAATGATTACCAGGGGTTGTTTACCAAACAGTTACTCGATAAATAATTACCGATAAAATTTAACAATATCATTTATTTACCGAGTAAAATTTTAGTCAACCAAAACTAAATTGTATATAACAATTTAGCCGATAAACACCCGTACAAGAGTAGTGTAAGCCTCTTTGTCTCTGCTAGCGAATAAGATTGTTGAACCTTCTTGTATTCATCCGGCAATTTGGTAAACGGCACCCTTTTACACAGGTTCTCATCGCTCCTCCTCCCTGTCGCTCCTCCCCCCTCCCTCGTCGTTCCTCCTCCCTGTCTCTCCCGACTCTCGACGATCCTCACCCTCCCTCATAGTCGCTCGCCCTTCATTCCTGGTAATCGATTTGGGAACCACAGTTTGTGTAACAGGTAACTTTCCCTCTATCTTTTCTCTGTGTTTTCCTGGTAATCGATGCCATTTTCTGTATTGTATTTTCTCTGTGTTTTCCTCTGCATCACAGATATGAATACAACATTTAGGGTTTAATTTTGAACTCAAATTGGCAATGTTTTCGTTCGTTTTGATCCAAAATCATATTCCCCATCTCCTGTGCTACAGATCTTAAAAGACGATGCTTAATGACCACCAGATATGCAATTCTATGTTGAAAGTTTCTAAAGAAAGAAACCATGGCTGCACAGTTGTGCCCTGATGGTTGATCAGACTTCCATAACTAGAGACTTTAGCTTTCCTCATGTTTCCACAAAAGAGTATAGAGTTTTGGAAGTTGGAACAAATTATATCAGACTTGACTTGTATTACTCCTTTAATTATGGATTAACCACTCTTTTAGACATTTGAATTATGTTATTTCAGGCAAACAAACAACACCCAAAATCAACAACAACCTAATTAAAAGAATGAAATATAAAATACCTACAAAGAATGAAAGCCTGGAAAGGGAATTAAACAAGACCCCATGATTCCCATCTTCTTATATATTAACATCATAAATATAGAAATGGGGTTTTGAGAGATGAAATGGGGAAACAAACATCATCCAGAAATCAACATGAACCTAATTAAAGAATGAAATATAAAATACCCACAAAGAATGAAAGCCTGAAAAGGGAATTGAAGAAGTTAATTTCCACAAAAAGAAACATGATTAAAGAAACATTCATGCAACAATCAACAATTTGATATCCCCACTTGATTCATGCCTAGAATATGAAAACACATCATGCCAGTCAATCTTTTTAGTGCATTCTAATCAAGTGATCCTAAAAAACTCATCGAGAATGTGGGACAAAAGAGTTACGCACACCTCAATTTTTTTTCCTTGACCTGTGCTTCAATCTTATTTGGTACTGTTTTAAACGCTATTAGGTCACCACCAGATTCAGCTTGAACTTGAACTCTTCTCCGTGAAAACTCTTCAAGAACTCCAGATTCATTGCGTCGCCATAGTCTCCACTGTAAGAGGACAGATGGGTGTTAAAAACAAACACAAAAATCACATGTAGCTCACTTGATGAAAGCTAATAGCAGTTGAGCATCATTACAGCAACATAATTGTTCTGTATGTGTGATTCCAGAAAAGAAAGACTGATATCCGGGGATATTTGTAATGATTATCATGTCTTTACAGTGTGCATCCACAGTTCATATGGAAATCTACTAACCAATAGTTGAAAGTTTCTTTGACAATCTAGATAAAAGTTCTATGAATTGTCAATATGGTAACATGATTCATATATGTAGAACTAATATGTAAAGATCATAAGACCGAATAAATCCGTCAACACATCATTTAGCCCCGAAACAAGTGAAGATGACAGAAATCCAACTGAAAACAAGATGCAACTCTTTAATAGTAATATAAATCAAATCAAGGATGTCCATATCAAGGATAAGAAATTTGGCACTGCGGAGTTTCTTGTACAATAGACGAGTTGGGATGTCATAACTTGTACTCTTTTCCTTTTTTTTTGATTACCTGCTTTTCCAGCACCCTTCTCTCGACTTCAATGCTGATTTCGACTCAGGGGCGGCGCTGACCGGTTGGCAATGCTGACTCGGTCAGCAGTCAGCTTGTTTACTAATGGGCCGTTTACCAAACACTTACCCGAGTAAGCGCTTATCAAGTCACATTACCTTACCGGATGAATATGGTAAGGACCAAGAATCTTATCCGGTAAGAACGAGACAACAACCAAGAATCTTACCCGGTAAGTGAGGACGACGACTCTGACCACCGTAAGCGCTTACCGGTAAGTAAATAATAGTTTAAATCTTACCCAATAAGTAAATAATAGTTTAAATTTTACCGGTAAACACTTATCGGGTAAGTGTTTGATAAACGACCCCTTAAATTATCGCTCTGACCAAAATTTGATTGGTATGTTGACCGAACACTTACTAAGACAGCACAAAAATGATGCTTATCCGGGTCAGATTTTTATTTTCTATGCCTGCTCTTTTCACGATTAGGTTTCTTCTCGATCCTCCTCCTCCTCCCCCTTGTCTCCCTCGTTGCTCCCGGCCCTCGTCGTTCCCCACCCTCCCTCCATCGTCGCTCTGTCATTTCTCCCTCACCATATTTGGCAAAACTTTCTTGGAGTGTTGTCTACAAGAGATGTCCATGAATGGAATCCAAGGCAGTAGCCTTAAGATGCACTCATGGAAAAATATAGCGGAAACATTATAAAACACTCATAACTTCATTGTCAATCAAAGACAAATGAAGAATCACTATGATTATTGAGAGGGAAATACGTTGTATGGTCTAGACTAAGGAATAAAACGGGTAATGTCTATAACCCAACAAACAACACATTCAATCTATCTGAAGAGGAGTGGAAGGCAGAGGCAAAGGTCAATTCTTTTTCTTGGTTTCTAATATAATTTCCTTATATTTTTCTTTTAGTTATATGTTTTTACTTTTTTTATAAACAGTTGAGTAAATATGCTGACAAGTTGAGGAATGCACCACTACTTATCCTAACCTTTGTATGCAAATTTTTAACCAGCCACCAGTCAAGGACTAAAGCTAACAAATCGGTAATTAAGCCGATAAAATTGAAAAGAAAAAAAAGAACCTCAAAATACCGAAACCCGTTTTCTGTATAACTATGAACATAATAACTTGTAAAATTAGGTTTTAAAATTTTGAAAATATTGCTACCTACTAGTGCGCCTCTAACCTTTTGACCGTCGGGCGAATATATCGAGCAAATGATCACCGGGACTTGCTGCTTCGAGGACAGGCCACTACGACTGCCGTTGGCGATTCCCCTTTGTTTTGCTTTGCGGTCTGCCGTTGGCTCCTATTTTCTACTTTGATTGGAGAATGAGTTATGCAGGCTGGATGGAACGGGACTGAACTATAGTAGCATGAAAAACAAAAACCATAGTCCAGTGGTTAAGTATAAAAAAAACCATGGTTTAACAAATCTGTGAACCATGGAAATCGAGAAATCGAAGACCATGGTTGGAATTAAGGAAATCAATAACTGGAACCAAGGTAATCGAGAAATCGAAGACCATTAATGGAAATCAAGAAATTGAGAGATTGAAAACCACGGTTGGAAGAAATCGTATCCGAAAGAAATCGAGAGATTGAAGACCAAGAATTCGTACTGGAAGAAATCGAGATCGAAGGTGCGGAGAGATGAAGAATCGATGATAGCTTGGAAGAAACTCGTGTGTTTGATTTTGGAAGGTGATGATATTCTACTTTAGATTTAGGTATTATATGTTGTAAAGAGGGCAATATGGTAATCCCAATATTTAAATCTAAAGTAGAATATCATCGCCTTCCAAAATCAAACACACGAGTTTCTTCGAGGCTATCATCAATTCTTCATCTCTCCACACCTTCGATCTCGGTTTCTTCCAGGTACGAATTCTTGGTCTTCAATCTCTCGATTTCTTTCAGATACGATTTCTTGGTCTTCAATCTCTTGATTTCCACGGTTGAAGACATCAATTTCTTGATTTCCATTAATGGTCTTCGATTTCTCGATTACCTTGGTTCCATATATTGATTTCCTTATTTCCAACCATGGTCTTCGATTTCTCGATTTCCATGGTTCACATTTTTTTTGGACCATGGTTTTTTTTTATACTTAACCACTGGACCATGGTTTTTTGTTTTTCATGCTACTCTCACTTTTCTTTTCAACACTTCAGTCCCGTTCCATCCAGTCTGCGTACCATATGCTGCCTAACTCATTCTCCGATCAAAGCAGAAAATAGGAGCCAACAGCAGTTTGCAGAGCAAAACAAAGAGGAATCGCAACGATAGTCGTGGTGGCTTGTCCTCGGAGCAGCAAGTCCTGGTGATCATTCGCCCGATATATTTGCCCGATGGTCAAAAGGTTAGAGGCGCACTAGTAGGTAGCAATATTTTCAAAATTTTAACACCTAATTTTACAAGTTATTATGTTCATAATTATATAGAAAAGGGGTTTCAGTATTTTGGGGTTTTTTTTTTCTTTTTAATTTTATCGTCTTAATTGCCGATTTGTTAACTTTAGTCCTTGATCGGTGGCTGGTTAAAATTTTGAGACTTTTAGTTGTCCGCTTACACCTGACATGGGGTTGTTGCCGAACCGCATATGCCTAAATGGTCTTCTAGGCAGTCGTTTAAACTCTCGAGGCAATTTTTTTGGCTCCTTATATTTGTATTAAGGGAACTATAAAACTAATCACTTAAAAAACCAATTGTAACGTAACAAAGTAGTACCAAAATTGTACTTCCATAATCTAAAGGTAATGACATTTTATATATTTAAACGAACTGCCCCTTTCTGCTTGTGCTAGATGGTCACTTGCTAGAATTCTGCTGGAAAGTAAATTGTTGAACTTAGAATGCTTGATGTTTGCTCATTTAGGTTGGATCTCTTTGTTTGATTGGATATTTGTTTGCTTGTTTGATGTATCTGTAGTTTGCTTGAGACGCAACCGGCCCTCATATGGGATCGTTGCAAGAAAGTTTGAATAGGTTCAAGAAGCAACAGGAGAAATGCCAGTCCACACTTAAAAGCATTGCAGGTTCTAAAACAACCACCAAGACAACTGCTCCTCCTCCTCCTAGAGCTGTGCCTGCAAGCACCTTGGCAAAGTCCCCTCTTCCTGCTGTCAAATTCTCCAATGACACGGAGAGGCTGCAACATATTAATAATATAAGGAAGAGCCCTGTAGGAGCCCAGATCAAAAGAGTGATTGATCTACTGTTTGAGGTACAAACCTTGCCTGTTCTTTTCTATGTGTAGTTGGTTTTTATCTTTATTTATTTTTATTGCTTGTGCATGCTAATATACCATAAGATAAGAGTTTTTTTTAAGAACCATATGAGTAGAAATATCCTGTTGAGAATTTGAAAAATATATAAACTATCTAGTTGGGTATTCCATCACTAAAGAGGAAAATAGCTTCTGACTAGTGACTACACATAAATCAAGCAGGCTGAGGGAATACTGAAAATCGACCAGGCTAGTCTTCTTCTTGTATGTTGATTATGAAGAGAAGATCATCAGACTCTAAGTTTACATGTATATAAGGGGAGGCCCAGGTCTACATACAGGTCTTGGATCAATAGAATCCTCCAATGCGCATCTTTAGTCACACTTGAATTTAACCTTATTTTGTTAAAACATATAAACATAAAGAAACAATGCTAGTAACATCACATGGTTCATTATGTTTGTTTAACTTCTTAAAATGGCATGGATTATTGGACCTTTACAAGTGTCAAGGACCAATTTCTGGCAACCGGCACCTAGGTATGTTTAGTTTGACTGCTACTTTTATTTTTGGTATGACAATTCTATATATTCTTCAAAGTACTTTTTCTTGGTGCATTGATGGTTATGGGTGCCTCCTGCAGCCATACTTACATCCTAAATTGAGGTTAATATACAGCCTTAGACATTCTTGAGGACATGATCTCAGATAGGTGTTAATGGAGATGCAAATTTAGCTTAGCTGACCAGGGGACGCGTCTAGCTAGGGAGTTGGAGAGGTAGAGAGTGGGCAGAGGAGTGGTGAGTCAGCAAATAGGTTACCAGGGTACTACGTTTCAGACCTTTGCTATGTTCCTTAAACCTACTTCTGTTTTTTATGATGTTGCTTACTATCTAGCCTTGGTTCTTTAAAAAATAGTTGTATAGTCCTTTAGTCCTTTCTGATCTCAAGATCTTCACTTCTAATTTTTTTTCGTTCTTTGAACTTTTTGACAATTTTTTCTGAGACTTAAGAGGTTAAAAGTATTCGTACACTTCTTAGAAAGCCAGGGCTTTTCATGGGAGCAGCCTCTCAAGTCTGTATAGTAGAGGATAGGCTTTGTACACCCCACCCCCGAGATCCCACATTTGAGTCGAATATACTGGGATAGTTCGTTTTGGTTTTTATGTTTTGCCATTGGCATATTTTTTTGGAACATCATTTATTTTTGTTTTATATTTTCATTGCAATTTGATTAGATTATATTGTGATAATGTTTATAAGCCTGCAATTGGTTGGGATTTTTGGTGTATTCTGAAAAAATGGTATAGCCATGTATGTGATTGCTATTGACCCAGAATTCAGCATGAAGGGGCAATTCACCAAGACAAATTATGTAATTAGGGGAAGGATGAAGCTTTTCATATAAGTGGCTAGAAAGAATTGTTATTATTCTGAAATTGATGAAATAAAAAAAATCAATTGCATTGCTTGTGGGGATCACTTTGGAGGTTGAAATGCATCCACTACTGGTATATCTTTCTTAATCAACTATGACTATGATTTTGAATCTCTCCAGTAGAACAGTGGTGAAAAAAAATCCTTAGTAAGTGTTCCAAAACCTATATGATCACATTGATGATCGGTCAACTGCAACAGAAAGTAGGCAAATGATGGAAAAGATCATTTCCCTTCAATTTTATACCTCCATTTGTCAATGAAGAGAACTTAGTGATTTGTTCCCAAAATATTTCACCTTCCATAAAGCTTGTCCTTCAAATACTTTGGGAGGGTTTAGGAAAAAAAACATTGCTATCACCTCATCCTATAGGGGAAGTTCCTAATAGCATGGACCTGCCGTGACAAATATGTGCTGAAGGAGGTTGATCTTTATGTCTGATAATTTGATCAAAATAGCATTCGTTTCCCCGCCTGACTTTTACAATTGAGTGGAGTCTGAATCCACTACAAGGCTAATGAAAGGACACAACCAGTTACGCAATAAGCAATGAATGTAATTTAAGTTAAAAGTAATGGTTTCGTATGAGATGCTTCAGAAAAGAGCAAAAATCAGTGGTAAAATTTTAATAGTGTTTGTATTAACAAGACAGTGATGCTATGCAAAGAAGTCTTTCTTCTTCATATTAGTGCCAGCTGAAATTATGCATGCGTAGCATTAGTTCCAGGACGGAGTATCTAGTAACATTGACCCATAGAAGTCTCTTTAATTTTGCACCACACAATCAATAGATTAGTACATCCAAAGCTTATCCTGTTCTCAAATAGTTAAAGTAATTCTCCTGGGGATATGCGCATTGGTCAACACTTCAGCCGGAAACCTCTTTTTCTTAGTATATAATATTTATATACAGCAAATGAAGCCCACACACACGTCTCACCTTTGGTGAGGTTGGAACCCTTGACCTTTTGTGAGGTTGGGTCACCTTATGACCTTATACCGTTCGGCTAAAGGCCCTTTGACATAGTAATGACCTCTATAATTGTTTTCTTATATTTAGATTTATGGGCCGTTAAGCACTTACCGGATGTCACTTAGTTTATCGTGTGAACATGGCAAGGCCGAGAATCTTACCCAGTAAGAGGCGACATAAGGACTGAGAGTCTTACCTGCTAAGTGAAGGAGAATACTCTTACCAGGTAAACGCTTACCGGGTAAAAGGTGCTTACCAACAATCAATTTTGATGGCCGAGAATGTTACCTGTAAGGTAAGTAAGAGGGTGACTCTTGCCGATAGGCACTTACCTGATAAGCGCTTGGTAAACTGCCCCTTAGTAATAATATAGTTGATAAGAACTCAGACAATTTGGAAGAATGAAAGGATTAAAAGGCAAGGGAAATCAACAATTGATTATAAACGAAATTGGAAACTTATAGTTGAAAGAACAAACACGACTCCTGGGAAACTTCCCTCTTGCAATGCCACAGCTAAGAGCCTAACTCAATTAACAAGAAAAATCACAATGAGCTCATGCTACCAGCGTTCCCGCCATTTATTAGACCACTTTCAATCTGTAATAGCTAATTGGGCCCAGCCCTATCTTCCACTCTTTTGGGCCGTCTGGAATAAACATTCAACACTTTGGGCTTGGGTAACGATTGGGCCAGATTAGACGGATCAGTATCAATAATCCACCCAGATGTTGGGTGTTGAAAGACAACTCATTTGACACCAAAAAAGTGGAGTCATATCTTGGGACAGAAGTAGTAATTTATATTTCAAGGGACATTTTGAAAATGTCCTGCACTTTTTTGTTAGTGCAGACAAGCATGTTGTAGAAAGATGAACTATTAGCATTTATGCTCGTGTGGCCTCATGACCATTTGTTAATTAAACTAGTTTGGCGATACATACAGTCAAGGCAATCCTTTACAGCGGAACAAATAAATGAAGCATGTTATGTTGATGTCAAAGGCAACAAGGCCGTGTTTGAGAGTTTGGCAAAGAATCCTAAAGTGAATTATGAGGGGAAGCGCTTCTCGTACAAGGTAATCCTGATCTTTTTTAATGATTTAATATAATTTGTTATAAATTTCCAGATGTTAACTCGATATGAGCAATATCACTTTATCTTTTCGTGGAGAAGTTATCTGTTTTGATGCTATCAAGCATTTAGCTTGTTTGCGTTTGGCTCCATTCCTTAGGTGGTAACACTTTTGAGTTCATGGGTTCAAGATTACCTTCTCCCTTGTCATTTGTAAAAAAAGACCTTCTTCGCCTTGATGTAATTTGTGAAGTTAATTTTTTTTATTTACAGTCCAAGCATAATGTGAGAGACCAGAAAGAACTTCTTCGTTTAGTACGAACATTTGCAGAGGGTATTGCTGTTGCTGATCTTAAGGATGCCTACCCAACGGTCATGGAAGATTTACAGGTATTTTTAACCTCCAAAATTTCCACTTTGTGATGATGTCGTACACACAATGTAACTTGTTTGTGATGATTTAAGTCTATATATTCCTTTAGTTACACGTGCTGAAAGCTATTTGAACACTGAAGATCAGATGGTATTATGAGCACGGATTATATTCACATATGCATGTTCCTATTAGGGGTAAAAAAGGAATATTGGACTTACTGCATAGCATTTTTTTGGAGCAAACATGTGCTTTGTGTTGTTTCCACACCCAAAGTACGTCTTAAAGCACGGTGACTTCTAAACAGCTGCACAGTGATTGAGATAGTTTTCATCGTCTTCTATCAGATTCACAAAAAGTTTAGGCTTGAAGAAGAATTAACCATGAAATCACTTCTTCAGTGGTTCAGCTTGCTCTAGTTTTTACATGCATATACATATTTAGAGACGCAAACACACACTTGTGTGTGTATATGTATATACGGATATAGACAGACAAAGATATACACACATCCACATCCACTCATATATTTATATACATGTCGATTTTTGTGTGCATAGGAATATATGCATGTATGCGGTTGTAAACCGTCGACAGTCCCTACATAAAATTTCTCTGCAATTACCCAAATTTTGCTGCATTTTGGATGGGACCTTCCTCCAAAATACATGTTTTGAAGCATAACTTTATGAAGTCTCACCAAGTTTTGTGCAAGGACTATGGAGTATGGACCTTTCTACACACATATATACTGTGTATGCATGTGTATATATATGAGTGAGGTGATGATGGAAAACATATATATGTTGTGTTCGTATGTCAGGCCCTGAAAGCTGCTCGTCAGATCTGGCTTCTATCGAATTTTGACTCTCAGGAAGATATTGCGTATCCTAATGATCCTCGAGTGCCCATCAAGGTTGATGATGAACTAAAAGGGCTATTCAGGGCAATCGAATTGCCACGAGACATGCTGGATATCGAGCGGGAGTTGCAGAAGAACGGGATGAAGCCAGCCACAAACACGGCTAAAAGGAGAGTAGCTGCTCAGAACTTTGGCATATTAACTAAACCAAAACAGAAGAAGAAGAAGACTGAGATCAGCAAGAGGACAAAGCTCACCAATGCTCATCTTCCTGAGCTTTTTCGAAACCTTAATGGCTGACTTCACTTCATTTGGCTTGGTATATATATATATATATGAGAAGTGTTTACGATCATATTTTGTAATTTGCATCACGATTTCATCTTTTTCGATCGAAATGAAATGGTTATCGAGTGTGGAGCTTTCGTTCATCGACTTGGCTGATTATTATTGATTACGGAGAAGCGTAGCGGATTATAAGTATAATCCCCATTTGGCATTCTTCAAGTTCCATTTGAAAGTGTATTCGATTGATTGGAACTTAATCCGTTGTTCCATGCACTGAATCGACTTTTTCTTTAACCTGGATTTCCAATCCGCTATGTGAGCCGATTAATCCTAGGGCGACCACCTGCTTTGCAGATGGCTCGTAGTTATCGCATTTGAACCTCCGTGGCCACAAGAGGATTTTTATTCCTCATTGGATTTGAACCTGAGACTTTCTGGTATTTTTGATCTTTGGAGTCAAACTCAAACTAATCAGGCACTACCCTTGTGGTTAACTTTTAAATACACTTTGCATTCATATTTTAGGAAGAAACTTTGTTTTTAACGTTTTAATATCTAATTTACACTAATCATGTACAAGTCGACAAAACAAACATATGGTTACTTTCGGGGGCGTCTGGTTCGCAGAATGTTTATCGAAAGAATGCAATCTGTCATAGGAATTGGACTGCGCATTTCGTTGGAATAACTGGACTGTAATTTGTTAAATGATATGGAATTTACCTGAAGTTGGTTTATCTGCCAAGCGCTCTTTGCCATTTGAAGTCGGTAGCAATATGATGTCGATTATATCATCTTTAAATGGACTCGTATGCTTTGATAAAAAAACCGCGGTGGTTGTATGTTGCGTATAACTACTTAGATATAATTTTATGGAATCCTTTGACGGGTGTCTGCAAGACACTATCTGAAGGTAATTACTTCACGTTCCCGCCAAGAGGATATGGGTTGTATTACAATTGTTGTGACGATGACTACAAGCTATTATGTGTAACTCAATCTAACGATGGTTATATATACTCGTAGAAATCTGACTTATGACGAAAGGCCAAGTCAAGAGTCGATTCGCTTATAAAAATTTGGCACTTTGGTGAACGGAAAACTCTATTTCTTAGCACAAGGCACTCAAGGCAGTAGTAGTACACGTTCTTATTTGATTATAAGGTTCAACAGCAAGACTGAAATGTTCGCAGAGATTGCAGCTCCTCCTTGTAAATGTTGTTACATGATGGTTGTAAGAGGATGCATTCACTTGTGGGCATTTCGTGTTTCCAAAAGGAGATAGTTATAGACTCGAGTTGTGGAAGATGGACAGAGATGGAGAGTGGATGAAGGTGATACGTTCTTGCGGGTTTATGTGTATGTATCAACCATGGCACTTAACGAGGGACGGAAATTGGCTCGCGCAATCCATTTTCAATCGTGACCTTGTTTACAAAGCCGATCTTAAGATGCGTTAGAAGGCAAAATCACAAATTATAGCGAGAATTATGAACGTTCTTTTTCATTTATGAGTTGATATCTTCCCTCATACATCATGCACCATATGATATACATAAATCGAGCCAGACCCATAACCGATCCCGATCCAGACCCAGCACTGTTTATAGATGAAAAGTGTAGTAACCAGTCTTGATCTGTACCCGACGGGCCCATTTGAACATCTCTAGCAGCTACCCAGCCCACACACATTCGACGACCAGAAGTCCAGTAAAGAACCCTTGTGCGATTGAGCGATACTACGTGAGTCTTCCTCTTCCAGAACAAACACAAGAGCGGATTTCGTACGTCAATTCCCAAATCGAAGCATCAGCGATTCGTCATCCTCATTCATCAACGATTCGTCATCCTCATTCATCATCGATTCGTCATCCTCATCCAAGCAACTCAATTTAGGTAGTTTTTTTTGTCAATTTTGGTGTTTGATTACTTCAAACTTTGCACTTAGGTCACTTGGTGTTTGCCAATTTTTGTTTGAAACTTCATGTTCATCCCTGCTGTCTTGTAAATTGTTGCTGTTATCGTGATTGGTGTGATGCTTAATGTGTTGCTGCTTCTTCTGCTGTAATTTGTTTAATTTGTTGTGATAATCGGATGATTGCAATAATAATTAGAGGTCTTCCAAGTGCAATGTGGATCAATACTTGTTAGGAGAGTTGGATTTTACACTTATATATGACTAATTATCTGATATTGTTTTCTTCTTCTTCTTGTTGTTGCAGAATTGAACATGAAGTTGAATTGACTTGCAAAGTAGAAATTGAAAAATCAAACAGTTTTATTTAGTTCATATATATATATATATATATATATATATATATATAGACGAAGACCATGGCTAACATGCTGCCCGATGACATACTGTTGTTCCAAATACTACCAAGGCTGCCTGCAAGGTCTATAGGTCGTTCTATGTGTGTTTGCAAGCAATGGCACTCGTTCCTAACAACACCTGTGTTCACCAAGATGCACCTCCACCATGTAAACAATCAAAATCACCACAAACTTCTTGTCGTTTCTACCACAAACCCGTGCAAGTACTTCCAAACCATTGACTGTGAAACACCTGAACTTGGTTTATCTGCCATCCGCTCTTTGCCATTTGAAGCCAACAGTAAGGAGATGTTGGTTATATCATCTTTAAATGGACTGGTATGTGTAAGCATAGATTCTTTGCTGCATGGTAGCCTTAGGTACTCGGATATAATTTTATGGAATCCTTTGACGGGGGACTATAAGATGTTGTCCAAAGATAATTCAAATGGCAAAAACTTCAGGATCGCCGCAAAGGGATATGGGTTGTATTACAGTAGTTGTGACGATGACCACAGGTTGTTACGTGTAACCCAATCTGGCGATGCTTATATATACTCGTTGAAATCCGACTCATGGCGGAAGGTCGAGTCAACAATCTGTTGCCTTTTAAAATATTGGAACTTAAGTTGTGTGCTGAATGAAAAACTATACTTCTTAGCACAAGGTAGAAATAAAATGAATGTATGGTCATATCTGATCATAAGGTTCGACACCAAGACGGAAACGTTTACAGAGATAGCGGCTCCATGTTTGGAATATATAGGGACATCATGTTTAAAGTTGAAGGTTGTAAGTGAATGCATTCACTTGTGTGTGAGTTCAAAAGGAATAAAGTCATGGGATAAATTGGAGGTGTGGAAGATGGACGGAGATGGAGAGTGGACGAAGACTGTAAGCTATTGTGATAAGCTTTGTAAGCATGTGTTTAGTCGGCCGTTGTACCTGATGAAGAACGGAAATTGGCTCGTGGGTTCTAAAGGTAAAGGTTATGTTTACAAAGTAGATCTCGAGATGAAGACAGCAAAAGAGGTGTGTGCGTATACAGACGGTGAAATGGATATTCTTTGGGGAGGGAAGTTCGTGGAGACTTTTGTGTCGCTTAAGCGGTAAGAACATCTCCAACAGCGTCTCTATAATTTCTCTAAAATAAAAAACCAATTTTTTTTCTGGTTGAAATATTTAATATTTTGAATGTTCTTGATTAATATATGTAATTGTTAGCCTTAATAAAAAATCCCATGCAAAATTTCAAATATCTTTTAATATTTCTTTTGTAATTGTTAGCCTTATCTGTATGCTCTAAATTTGATTTTACTTCGTTCGTTTTGCTATATTGTAAAATGATAAACAAAATTTCAACCTGACCAACCCAATCCGTATGGTTTGATTTGGATTGAGTTGAAAATTTCCAAACCATAAACATTAGATTAAATTGTTTAAATGCCTTCAATCAAACCCTACAACCCTACTATACATGGCGGGGTCACCATTGGCCCAAAGTCAAGACCGACTAGAGACGGCAAAAAATGGGTCCTGGGTCGTGCCGGACCCAAATCGGTCCCAAAAAGGCTTCCTGTAACCATCCCAGCGTAACCGGTCTAGGTCCCGACAAAAACCCCCAAGGCCTGGTTAAGGTTTAGCACAACCGGTTATGAGAATCTGTTACAAATCGTTCGGACCTTTTTTTTAAATAAAAAAACGAATTTTTACATATAACTTTTTTTAAAAATATAAAGAATATAAATTTTATTCTAATACAACTTAAAATATGTATATGGTCAATCAGATTCATTTAAAAATACGTTTTATTATAATTTGTTAAAAACCAAAATCCAATACAAGCCGAAATCACAAATTATAGCGAGAATTATAAACGTTTTTTTTCGTTTGTGAGTTGATATCTTCCCCGATACACCATATGACTTATATATAGTATGTAGAGGGTCAATGAGACAAAAAAAAGGGTCAAAAATAGAAAAAAGAGTCATATGATTTGTTCTCAAGTAACCAAAAATAGATCTTTTGAAAAAATCGGGACAGGATCATAACCGATCCCGATCCAAACCAAACATTGTTTATAGATGAAAAGTGTAACGAGTCCCGATCTGTCGTCGACTGGCCCATTTGACCATCTCTAGCACCGACCCACCCAGGATATTATCTATATATCCCAAATTATTCCAGCCCACACACATTCGACGAATGTGTGCTCTTATATGATTGGCCTATATTTTTATATTTTTTTTTCTTCATATTTTTGGTTATTATAGTTTTAATTTCTTATTAATTTGATTTTTGTCATAAATCGTTCAAGTTTAGATCGTCAAAATACCCGTTTAATGACTCATTTTGATCTAAAAATGAGGTTTTTATTTGGTGAATAACTATAATTATATTAATTAAGAGGCGAGAAACGAGTTTTAATTTATATTAAAAATATATTTATATAATTTGTCCTCACAGAGTATTTTAATTCATCAATTTTCATCAAGGACCATAAGTATAATAAAAAAAACTAACTGCACTCAAAACATTTTATTATTTTATTTAATGCTTCAATCGGTTATCCGAATATTTAAATGTTTAAAACTTTACATCTTAGGTAACAAAATGAAGATTTTAAAAGTACATTACCCAAAATATGAATCAAGTTAAATTACGTAACTTTTACATGCAATTTGCATGCAACGTTGAAATAAGTTGTCGCCAACTATGATTTTATTTTTGGAAGGAAAGGGAATAATTATGAAACAATATTACATGTATTTGATGATTTTTTTTATTAATCTGAATATCCAACACACTATGTGAGCCGATTAATTACAGGATAATAACCGCTTCACGGGAAGCCTGGAGTCACTACATTTGAACCTCCGTGGCCACAAGTGAATTTTTATTCTTCATTAGATTCGAACTTGGAACCTTTAGGCACTTTTGACCTTTAGAGTCCAAGATCAAACCAATCGGGCATCATCATTGTGGTTCATGTATTTGATGCAGGGACGGACCTATAGTTGGGCATACGATGGCACGTGCCACTGTATTATTCCTCCGTCGATGTGTAAATTTTTTTAGGTTCGTGAAAGATATGACCATATTAATCTGTTGTGTGCCACCGTATGTATTCTAAACTACAATGAGAACAAGTTTTATTTTGGTAGAGTTGGTTTGCAAGGCTTTTATTCCATCCCAGACCCAAGTTCGAACCGTGTTAGTATCATTTTCTTAGTCAAATGATGTCACCATTTGAAACTTTTTCTGTATAGTTTTTTTTTTCATAGTCAAATGATGCCATCGTTTGAAAAAAAAAAAAAATCTGGGTCCGTCCCTGATTTGATGATTAAACATTGCAAAAATACAAAAAAGAAAAACAACATAACAACACTCTATTGAGCATTTGGAAACCATTTGGAAGCACTGTAAGTTGATGATTCAAAGATTGCATGCAAAAAACAACACATGATCATGCTTGAAAATTCAAGCAAATCTCCAGAAACTTTTATATGCATGTACATGACTTATGACTAGCTAAGCTTCATTTCCATCATCACCTGATGAATCTTCTGAACAATAGTGGGTGCAAGGACCAGAAATATGACGAGTGTCTTTCCAGATTTCATGAGCCAGTTGAAATTTCTTCAAACCTTTGGGATCCTTGAGCCAATATTCATCATCTTCACCACTAACCTGATCAACCTCGTTCACGAGCTCGTTCTCGTATCTCGAAAACATGTATGCAATTTGTGCAGACAGATCGATTACAGTTGAAGAAGCCTGAGGATGATTGTACCTCTTGATCCACTTGTTGTAGAAGTGATTCATACATGTTGTACCATGGTGTGGATCCCTCATTGTGGTTTTGCTATATTCAACCATTATTTTCATTAGCTCAGTCTCCTCATCATCATCCTCATTGCTTCCTCCACCTGCACCAGATTTCAGACCAGATTCCATGATTTCTTCAGCACTTCCTCCACCTCCAGATTTCGAACAAGACTCCATGATTTCTTCATCACTCTTGGTTCCTTCTTCACCACAAGATTCCATGATTTCTTCATCACCTTTTCCTGCAGATTTCAGACAAGTATCCATGGTTTTCTCATCCCCTTTTGCACCAGATTTCTCCATACGACCAAGAGTCAGAGAATGGAGAGGAAGGGTGAAGAGAGAAAGTGTACGGGAGTAGTATTTATTTAGACCAAATTACCCTTATGTTTATGGTGCAACGATAGAGAGCTAGCTATATAATGCATCTCCCGTTTCCCACAACTAGACCTCTTCTCATCATCCAACGGTGGAGAATACACCACCTTATGATTCAACTTAATCGGAGGGACAAGATTTAAGTAGATTGAATGGGAGTGCCACACCTTATCATTATGATCCGTAACAGAATTGAAGGTGGGTATATCCGAGAACACGAGTATTATTACGGTGGAATCAACGGTCTGGTGGGCCCACTCACTTTCAAGATATTATTACTGGTTATATTTTTTTAAATATATAATATTTATATATGGTAAATACAACAAATAACCTTTTTATTTTTGATGACTACTGCTAAGTTAAAGGCCCTTTGGTTTACCAGTTATTTACCCGTTGCAATACAACGATATTGATGTAAACTGAGAATGAATAATTCATGAAACGTTTTTAGTAAAACATAAGGCCGTTTACTAAACACTTACTTGGTAAGTACTTACCGGATAAATTTCCTCATCGAAATAACATGAGAAGGGTCAAAAATCTTATCGAATAAGAGGGATGAGAATGATGGAGAGTTTTATCCGGTAAATGATGATGACGACTCTTAACCAGGTAAGCACTTACCCACTAAATTGTTGCATTCGATATGTTTTGATATACTAAAATCTTACACATCAAAATAAATCATAGTGTTGACTCCTATCGCTAAGCGCTTATCAGGTAAGCAATTGGGTAAACAGCCTCATAGTCTATTAAACAATTGTCATAGAAAAACCCCATTTTATGGGATTACGTTTTAAACTATTTCTTTTGAACAAATAAATATTTGGACTTTCAAAAACCGATTAGATAGAAATTCCATCTTCTCATATTTTAGAGTTCATGTGCATCAATTGCAGTTAATTTCTTTTGAAGCTAACATGCTTTCACTCAAATTTTAGAGAGTCTTAGGCGGCGTTTGTTTTTTAAGAGATGTTGAAGTCTGAAATCTTATTCCACTTCTGATTAACAAGAGGTGCTGCTAATGTTTGAAATCTGAATCAATAAAACTATTTGTTTTTGTAAATCGATAAATGTCTGAATTTGTTTAAGTTGTCTATTTTACCCATTAGAAAATTATAGTGTAAAATGTATAGATGAATTTATACAATTTCACATATTTATTCATCATCATTACGAAATTTACATCTAAATTATGTAATTTGCATTCATTTAAACGAAAATATGCCATTAACGGTATTTAACGCATTTAAATCCTATTAAAATCACAATCTTTCATGGCCCTAGATTAATTAACACAAAACGAGTCCAAACACCACAAGTGTCTAAGACTACTTCGAGATCAAAAAGGTAACTGATCGAGCAATCATCAACCATCCCGTGTGTAGAGCAAATAGGCATAGACATCATAAACCAACTTAACAACATCACTATAAGACCAAAGCCCTAACATCCAACGTCAATCCAAATCCAATCCAGTAACCGTTTTTTATGCATCCATAAATCCACCAGCACCATCATAACGGTAATATGATTATCCCTAAACCCATAAACTGATGCGAAAGATCAAGTTACAGATAGTAAGTATATGAACCAAAAATCAGCAGAGCCAAACCAAAAAAAACAAACATGATATCCAAAAACAAAAGCATAATCTAATCCTGCGACAGCGAGGAATATCTAATCTGAACCATATTAACCTAATAATAAAAGACAACCTCTTTGCTAATATTTGAAAATGTCCCAATGAGGCTTAGGGGTTGTTTGGCTATTGCTGAATGATTTTGGTGCATAATGATTTTGGTGCAGAATGATTAAGTGATCAGAATGATTAAAAGACTCTTATGATATAGTGTGAAATGAAATATAATTGTTTGGTAATTGTGTACAATGAAATTAGGACTCTTAA